CGATTTAAAAGTCTGCTCCTCACTTAATACTGAAATCCCCAATGAAAACTAGATTTCTATCATAGTCAGCCTTCAGATAGTCCTCCTTTAAATGAAATCATGGAAACTATACCTGACACAAAAAGGAACACATTGTATGGTGAAGAGTGTGTTTTGACTGGAATGTGGAAATTCTCCGATATTGACACAGTAAAGCTTCTTCACAGCATTATTCTTAATATTTGGGAACCAGAAACGCTATCCTCTCATTGGACAAACACCACATATTCATTCAATCGATAAAAAATAAGATAATAGTTATTTAAATAAGTATATTTTCTTCCAGTGATCTACAAAATCCTATCTAGGCTATTGTTAATTAGAGCAGAGCCCTTTTACGATTAACATCTGGGGGAGTACCAAGCAGGCTTTAGAACATACAAGATCCTGTGCGAAAGAAATTCATAAAATAAATTCAGTAATAACATATACTATGAGACAAGATCAAGAAATTTTGTTGTGACATTTGTTGACTTCTAAAATCCTATGACGTTATCGAACGAAAAACAACAAAGGCCCTTTTCGAATTTGGCTTCTTCTTCTTCTTAACGTGTCCCATCCCTAAGGACATTGGCGATCATCATGACTCTATCTGCAGCCGTTCTGAAAAGTTCTATTGACGTTTTCCCACTCCATTGCCTCAGATTCTTCAACCACGACGTGCGTCTTCTTCCCGGTCCTCTTTTGCCTTCCACCTTCCCTTGTATGACCAACCGCATCAATTCGTATTTCTCGTTTCTTAGTATGTGACCAAAGTAGCTAATTTTTTTTGCAACCTAAGTACTGATATCTATGCACCCTGCCTAAAAGTTTTCCTTTAGCATAAACACTGTCTTCCTCATTCTTGTTCTTACTTACAATCATGATTTTTGTTTTATTTGTATTCAGTGCCATTCCATACCTTTCGCAGTATTGGGTAATGCGATCAACCAAAATCTATAGTCCATCTCTGCTGTCCGCAAGGAGTATTGTGTCATCTGCGTATCTAAGATTATTCAGGAGTGCTCCGTTAATAAATATGCCTTCATTTACGTCTTCTAATTCTTCTCTTTTTTTCCTAGGATAATGGCACTGGCAAAGCCAAAAGGTCAGTCATGTAATGCCTCTTTAAACAATGCTTATGAATACATTTATGGCTTTTTGATATCGGTATAGATTGGCAATGATTCTCACGTCTTCGTCATTTAATTCTGTGTTCTGCAGTATTTTTGCCATTCTTCGGTATTGTACTTTGTCGAAAGCTTCTTCGAAGTCGACTAGACATACGAATATGTCGCAATTGACATCTCGACATCGTTCGATTAGTGTTTGTACAGTAAATAATGCTTCTCTTGTACCAAAGCCTTTTCTGAATTCCAATTGGTTTTCAGCTATTCTATCATCTAGCTTTTTATAGATAAGTTCGTGTATCACTCGTAAGAACACTTTTAGAATGTGGTTCATCAAGCTAATTGTCCTGTGCTCTTCACACTTCAGTGCGTTTGATTTTTTGGGTATTGGAATAAATATTGATATTAACCATTCTTTCGGAATCTCTCCAATATAATAAATGTCATTATATAAGTGTGTCCATATGATTTTTGGTTAATATTCTTAAGATTTCTGTAAGTAATTGATCTGGTCCCATGGCTTTCTCATTTTTTATACGTTTTAGCGCTTTCTCAATTTCCTTTTTGGTGATTTCAATGACCTCAATTTTCTCGTCGTCTTCGAATAGCTCTTTCATGTATTCTTCCCATCTGTTTATTTGATCTGTACATTCCGATATTATCTTGTTATTTTTATCCATGATATTTCCGAAACCCTTCTTTTTGTATATGCCAGCTGTCTCTTTGATTTTCTGGTGTATGTTAAAACTGTCATGTTTTTTGTTTAACCTTTCTTATAATTTGGCTTGGGGACAGAAAAACTGTAAACTTAATAGATTCCTTATTAAAAAATATCATATCAAATATAAAATTCAGAGGTAAAGTAGTGTCAGGTCCATTTGAAATCCATACAGAAGTCAGGCAAGGTGACCTGATTTCTACTCTCCTGTTGAACTGTGTCTTAAAAAGCATTTGATTATCAGGCAACAACCATACTTTCAAATTATGGAATACAAACTGAACACAAAAAATAGGTTCTGAAGGTAAAATGTTTAGTTTTTGACTGGGACTGGGCTCTTTTGGCTAATAAAGCAGCATTAAATAAAACTGAGTTTGAAAACATAAAATATTCACCTTCTTATATGAAAATATAATAAGAAGAAGTCAAACAATCAAAGAGTTTGAAAACCTTAAAAAATTATTTCACGTGATGGTTCAAAGAGTGGTGTCATTGATAATAGATGTTCTAAACTAGAAGGTGCTCATCTGTGCAAAGACCTGTACAAAAACAGAAAATTTAAAACTATGTTCCTGCAATATAGTGATCAGACCGTCAACCTTATATAATGTATCCGATTGCTTAAATATGGTAAAGAAAGGACCATTACGAAAACTTAAAATAAAAGACAGGGGAAATTTGAGAAAACCTTTAAGACAAATCAAAGAAAGATGAGATAACGGAGAATGATATTTTGTGGTCACTTAGAATGTATCAATCATAAAAGACTTACCGACCGCATTCACTTTTCACTCTTATGATATTCATATTATTCAAAATGGGCAAGCCAGGTTAAAAAAAATTGCAGCAAGCCTAAATTTCACCTGGTGCCCTCTAAGATCGTCAATGTCTCGGAGATATGGTGAAATCTACTAAGAATATTATATCTCTCACGATCCCAGGTCCTCGCCTCACTAGCAAGTAGCTACAAGAAAGGAAAGAGGAACATTCCATTAAAATGAAAACCTACTGACAGAGGAGAAAAACTCAGTTATGAGAAAGATGAAATAATCTTCGTAGTCCTTAGTATGCCGAGACGGCAGAAAAAGGCGTATCTTCGATCTACTATGTTATAATAAAAATTATTTTAATTTAATTTTAAAATATAAACTATGTTAGATCATTTTATTACGTCATATAAAGGACAACCTGACAACTTACGAAGAACGAAGTATCAACTAGTTTTATTTTAAGGGCACAGCACAAAATAGTATTCTTAACACATACAGAATCAGAATGCCCACTCTGCTTAGAAAAATAAGTACGCGCATCTTGTTCGCGCAGACAGAATCAGCCATGTTTTAAGCGGAACCAGTGCTGTTCAGTGACATTTTATATGGTGTGCATAGACAAATTAACCCGGTTTAATTTATTTTGGCAACTACAGACATAATACGCACTATTTTATTCGTACTTTTAGTTGAAGAATAGATTAAATTATTTCAAATGTACATTGTTTATTATTCTGTGGCCATAGAATATGTAACTGCGCTCAGCTTGTACCATACAGAGTTACATTTTGGGAATAGGGCTTTTTCATCAGCCGCCATGTTTTTCGCATAGACAGATTTGACGATCAGGTATAATATATATTTTTTTGTAAAAAAAAGGCTTTATAGAATTTATCAAATAATATATATTGTCTTTAAATGATTTGTGCGTCATTCTACATACTTTATGCCTTATTGTTCCTTTTCGTACACACAGAAAAATAAAATTTATTCTGTGGGACAGGTGTCATAATAACAAAGAATATAGACGCATAATAATAGTCGATTAAAAATTTTATTAGCTAATTGAGACATTTTCATTATTTTCGTATTCCTTTTTTCAATAACTATACTTTCTTTGAGATTTTTTATCAATAATGTGTTCACGTACCTATATATACACTCTATTGATACTATGGCGAGGAACCGCAAAGTCGGCGACGCCTGGTGGTAAATTTCAAAAGCTTCCACTTCGGGAAAACATTGAAATTGCCAATATTTTGTATACATATTAGCGACCGGTTTATATTGTAATATACAATGACTTCGACTTCAAAAAACTATTGTAGTGTTCCTCAATGTTCATCCTATTATAATTCACAAAAATAATTCCATACATAAGTTTCCGCTGGACGAGAATATGAGAAAAGTTTGCCAAACATATAACCAAAGAATATAACTTTCCAAGTGTTGAGTAAAATATTACTTATATTTTAATATATTTATACTTAATTTACTTTATAGTAACACCTGAAACTAAATTAAGAAGACTGAAGAAAAATGCTGTTCCATCAGCTAAATTGCCCCATCAGTCGCATGAAGTTATTAGTAGAAAACGTAAGGCGTAATTTACAAAATATAACGTGACCAGCTCCAAAAACTGCCTCACCCTCAACTAAAGATCTCTGCCGATATTGCAACCATATAAATAATTAAGATAATGTAGATAGATAGACATACTGTAGAAAAACAAACATTTAATTTTTTTTATTCAGGTTTGGGAGTCAATTACCTATATTACGTATAAACTCGAATCACAAACAAATAAACTTTGAAGAACGTACTTCAACTTTTACTTTGGCAAAACCATCGAGTAAAAAGACATTTTGTCTTTTTGCTCGATGGGCAAAACACACGTGTAAATGATTTATTATAATGTTTTATATCTTAAAGATCAAATGACAAAATGATTTGTTTTCGTCCATCTTTAAAATCTTCAGCGCCCCCTATCGGAGTTGGCTATCGCGAATTATTTATTGTTTATTACTAGCCTAACAAGTTTGTTTACATAAATCTGTTCGAAAAAATAACACACTATTTTTGACGAAAAGTTCTATAAAAGTCCTCTTTAATATTCTGTGGTATTATTAAGCGTCTACAATTATCAGAGATATCTGACAATTAAATAGCACAGAACAGAAATCAATTAAAAATTTGTTTTCTGACTCTAGCACAGAATAATAAACAATCAGAAGGGCCACTCTCAGATGTTTATTATTCTGTGACTGTAGTAGACAGAGACACAGAATAATAAACAATTTATTTCTTATTCTGTGACAGAGACACATGCGTTGGCTTCACCTGATTGGTTTCAGATTGGCGAATGCGATTGACAAATACATTCCAGCTGTCAGTTTGGCAAAATGTTTTGAACCAAGATATTTAAATTAATTCTTATCAAATGAGGTATTCCTGTTCTTCTACAAATGCTCAAGTAATATCATTACAGTAAAAAGTAATATAGCAATTTTTTAGTAGCTTTAGAGGTAAGTTACTGAATATATTGTATTTTCCGGCTATTTTGAGGTTATGTTTTATTATTTCAGAATGAAGTTTTTAACTCTATCCACAGTTTTCGTTGTTTTTCTGAGTATAAGTGAAAATGTCAATGGAAAGGCAAAGAAATCTAAATCTGTTACTACTCTCCTGGAAGCTAAATGGCAAGCAACACCCCTAGTACTAGAGACGGCAGAGTATTTGGCCGATGAAAATATTGACTTCTTCTGGGGCTTTGTGGATTCCATAAGCTCATTAGAACCACCACTCTCTTCAATAGGTAATGTTATATCAACTATTATCTCATTTTTTTTTAATAAAATTATATAGATATCTAATAAAAAGACCCACCTTTGTAACTAGAGTATATATTTAAATGTTCTTTACATGTGATTAACTTTCAGTCACATCAATATGATAATGGGCTTGAACAGTTTCAATGAAGTTAACATTTGTTTCTATTTGTAATATTAGGCTCAAAGAAGAGGCAAAAGTTTGGGTCATTCTAATTTAAATAAAGTGCATAAAGTGCTCAAAAAATGTCAGGAATGCCAATTTATACTACTTTCTTTTTAAAGATATCGTCATGCAATATCCAATATTGTGACACATATTGTGCTTAAGAAATGGGAATACTACTAATGTTTACCAGTTAATATTAATTTCGTTTCCTAGTATGGATTTCACTTTCAGGTATAAAAAAAAATAAATCGAGGAAATGAAACGCTTCCAGAAATTATTTTCGAACTCGAAATTATCTTCGAATTATATATTATATATCCAATAATATATAAGTACATATTATTAATTTTTTTTAGGCAGTGAACATGAACAGTACAAAACTGTAATCAAACATGCTTCGAAGTTTTTAACGCCTTCTCAGATATCAGTGTTAAAATTAGGGTTGTCATTACATGTATATTCACCTAAAGTACAAATGTTTGCACAGATAGCTCAAGAATTAAATTTACCAGATTGTCCAAGTGTTGCAGACATTGGTGGAACTGTTGTGTGTAATGTTGAAGATATAAAGACTTTAATAAATAAGGTGAGTGTTAACCAATCCATAGCTTAAATTCAACATTGGTTTATTTAATAAGTAGAATATTAAAAGAGGCCCTGAAACTGTTTTTTTTTTTGTGGCATATCTAAGTTAAATATTATGTTTATATATAATAAAATAAGGTTGTACACATGAATGTTGTGGTTTGTTGGCTGTTGACCAAATTATCCCAATTCCATCATTAAGAAAAAATTTATTTAGAAAGTAGAATATTCCACCATTGAGGAAAACCCCAATTAGAGAACACCACAATTTTAACATTTGATAAGTTTTGTTTTTTGCTTTATGTTGAAAGCCATTATAAGATAATAGTTTTTCTGATAGTTTTGAAAAATGTGACACAGGTATTCAAGTTCAAGCTGAAATGCCATTCTTTTATATACATGAGTGAATATTTCAGTGAAACATCTCAAAGTTTTGTTTTAAATTTTAAAGTTGGTTACAATCAATAAGCTTCTCTTTTACTGTAGCTGGATTAGTAAAAGCTGTTTTTATCTTAAATAATTTTATTGTATAATTGTAAAAACAGTAGTAGTGTTTATTGGTTAAATACTTATTATGATGAATTTAAAATGGTTTCTACAAATTTACATTTAAATAGTTGGAAAGTATGAAAAATGTTAGCTTTATTTTGAGGGTACTTGACTAAAGTATGATTGACTCTTATTAATTTTTATGTACAGTACAATTCCTCTTAACTGGTCACCTTGGAACTTCATACTTGACTGGTTGCAGTTTTGGCCATTTAATCTGAAGTATACTTTACTTACATACATATGCACATATAAAAAAATTAAGAGGTATTTTTTACATATTTCATATGTATTTACAAACATTAATGTGCTACATACATACATCAACAAATCCATACAAGTTTAAAAAGTAATTATTATTTATTAAAAAAGTCTGTAATTTTCTTCTGGTTTTTATTCTTCAGTGAATTTCTGTATGTGACATCCCCCCATTTTCTAATCAACAAAACATCTAATACTCATCAGATTTTTTTATGTTCCTTTCTTCATAATTTGTTTATGTTCCTTCAAGGCACGTTTCATTTTGTAATATATATTTATGAATATTATAAATAGCATAAACCCTTCCTGTTTTTTTAAATTCGATCTCATACAGATGTAGCATTTTCTGACAAAAAAAATTTATTGATGTTAAAAATTAACAAAAAACCTGTTGTAATGCTAGAAAACTGCAGACTACTGTTGTCCATTTATATATTGATTTATAATCTTGTTCTAAGACAATCCCCACCTTTTGTTTTAATACATTTATATTTTTGGGATAAAAATATGAGAGGTTTGACATTAACTTAGTGTAAATTTGCATGTTTTGGGATCTGATCTCATCATACAATGTAAATGGCATCACTTGTATTTTTAGAATGATTTGTAGATTTGAGTAGATTTTCACAACTATGCCATCTTCTAAGGAATTTCCTCCAAACATGTGATGTCAAGTTCTCTCTTTTATCAATATGAATCTTCCAGAGTAGTTGAGTAACTAATGTAATACCCAATTAGATAGTACCTAATGGTCTTTGGTTATTTTTGTTATTAGTTTGTTGGTTTTTTCTTTGCAAGAGACTGCTGCCACTAAAATGGCAGTGAATTCAACAAATGTGAGAATGGTATCATGTTCTAATACAGGGATGTCACTTGGGTATAGCAGAACAGCACCCAACACGCCCCCTTTCGGAACACCTATCTTCTTGTATCTATAAACCTAATAGATAAGAGATATCTGTTATGTCAAAACTCCGTGAGCAACATGAAGGAAGATGTCTTGTTTTTTATCTTGTAATATTACATAATATAACATTAAAATCATTTGAACAGTTTTAAAACTAATTTAGAAACATTTTAAAATAAGGTTTAATGTATTTGGTGTAATAGAATGTATAGCAATTGTTTTTATTTATAAAACAAATTTGATATAGTGCCAACTTATTAAACAGGTGTTTATATTAAATTGTTTAATGTTTTATTATAAATTTGGCACAACTTTAGCTAATGTCAGATTGTAGTACAAATAATTAATCTACACTAAACAAACTAGGAGTATCAAAAGTTTTTTAATATAGGTACTTACTTAATATGAAAAAAAAAAAATACAAAATCACATACTAACAAGGCTATCGTTCTTAGATATATTGTAAAGTAAAAAAACTCATTTCCTAACAGGAAAATATAACAAAGACCATCATGTGCTCATCCAAGTTAAACGGGGCATAATCTTTTTACACAATTAATCATTTTCTGATTCACATAATAGATAGGTTTTTATTCCAAATTTGCCTATTTTCACTGGGATAAACTGGATTAGGATGTGTTCAGCATCGAAATTGTCATTATTGCTGAAATGAAGATTTTGATTTATTGCTTCAAACCGTTTATTACTTAAACACATTGAGAAAAAAGGTGTCATCAGTGGATTCTTAGACTGCTACTGTCATATTTCAGATTTCTTGATTACGCTTTGCAAAATAAAATCTCCCAAAAAATCTCCCAGTTCCACAGAAGTTACTGGTTACCAACTTCTTCTTGTTTTGGCATGATAACCCTGGATATGTATTTGCCTGTCTGGCTATGTCCTTCCATTCAGATCTCTCTTTGGCCCTTCTCCTCCATTGTCTTATATTCGAGGTTGTCTGGTCATCTTCCACGTCATCCAACCATCTTGTCCTGGGTCTTCCTTTTTTCCGCCTTCCTACCAGCTTCCACTGTAACATCTTCTTGGTCTCGCCGCTGAACATGTCTCAGCCATGATAGTCTTTGACTTTTCACAAATCTTACAATGTCATACCCTTCATTCAGTTCATTAACCTCTTTGTTTCTCCTGATTCTTCATGTGCCGTCTTCCTCTTGCACCGGGCCATATACTTTCCTCAGTATCTTTCTCTCGAATATTCTGAGTTGAGCTTTCTCTTTTTTCGCCATTACCCAGGTTTCACAACCATAGGTTACTACGGATCTAATCAAAGTTCTGTAGATATTCATTTTGGTTCTTTTGTCTAATAATTTTAATGTTTTTAATCTTTTATTAGCATAGTATGTACGATTTCCACTGGAAATACGTGCATTAATTACGCTACTTATGGAATTCTTCTGATTGATAGTTCAATAGTATAGTTGTCTATTGCTATATCATTTTTAATCTCAGGTGTTCTTTTTATGGTCATGTACTTAGTTTTTGTTTCGTTTATTTTAAGCCTCTTTTTTGTGGTACAAGATCAATTTCCTTGTTCGTTTCCATTAGTTGTGTCTTGCTTTTACTAATAATGGCGACATCGTTTGCACATGCAGTAATTTGTACTGTTTTGGGATTTATGTGGCCGGTTACATTGGTTTTCCGATGACTGCTTCAAGAACTAGGTTGAACAGCATGGTTGAAAGTGCGTCTCCCTGCAGCACCCCCATGTTGATGTTAAACAGGGGAAACAGTTCTCCATCTACTCTGACTGCGGCTTTTGAACCCTACAACGTCATCTAAGTTCTGGTGAATGAATTTTTTTTTCTTCCATTGAGATAGTTCTGGGATGAGGTTGAAAAAAGCTGATGTTTAAGTTTCTTAGAGTTTCCAAATAGAGTAATTTGTGTTATCCATCGCAGTGAGACTTTAAAAAATTCATTTATACCTTGATCTTTGTATTTGTGCAGTTCTCTTTTAAGTAAACGAGTTGCCCTGTTCAGTTGAGTTTTGTTCTCAGGAGATCTGGAAGTTTGCCACTGTTTTCTTCGTTTTCTCTGTTCGTTAATTAAGATTTTTATATGATATGGATATATCGCACATGTATTATTATATACATGTTCCATCACATTAAAAAATATTGGAGAATGGTCCAAAGAAAGGTCAAAGGAAGGTTTGATTTCTATCAGTAGGCCAGTAGTTTGGTTGTTTAAAATCTTCTGCTGCAATAAAGTGATGACCAAGTCCATTGAAATAACTAGAGAAATGTTCCTTTCTAATTATTTTATCAAGGCGGGGGGGGGGGGGATACGCAACTGATATCGTTATGTATCCCTTGCGGAGTTCTACAGATGTCGAGGTTGCCTGAATGTTGATTTCACATATGAAGCAGTGTGTAATATTTTTAATGATTTGCATCCTATACCACGTTCAACTGTTACTAAAACATTGCAACTTTTAAATGCAACTGGGATGGTCAATACTGGAAGACCGTGAACCGCAATTAACGAATTTATCAGACAAAACATTGCACTTAATGTAGACGAGTCACCTCATACTTCCACAACGAATTTGGTACTAAACAATGGAATAAGTCGATGTTTATGGGAAAATTATTGATCATCCTTAAGTATCATCCGTGTAAGATACAATGGGATCAATAATTATTGTCATTTAAATTATGGGCATTTGTAATAACTTGGTAGGTATGAATAAGGAATAACAAGTTCTTTTAAAATTTGCAAAAGTATACAGGATGTCTCATCTAAATTAAATAAGTTGAGGGTATTTCCACTGAAACTGGAAGTAGAATAGCAACAAAGAATATGGTTTCAGATGCATTAATCTATATATCGTTTTTTTTTTTCATTTTTTTCATTTCAAAGATATTTATTTGGTTCCATACTTTCCTCCAACCTTGTATCCATATATAAAATACAACATACAATATCAAAGTCATTGTTAAATAGTATAGTTTGACCATATTTTTTAATTATAATTATTTTATAAGTAACAATTGTGTGTTTTGATAATTGTATAGTGTTTGTTGTGGGTTAAATAAAATTATTTACAGTTACTAAAATAAGATAAAATACATAAAGAATCCTATGCATGGCTTCTAGAATGGATTAACTAGAAAAATACTAATAACAAGGTTAAGCTGGAAACCGTATATGAATATTTTTCTTGAATTAAAACTCAAATATGAGATATTCGTTGGTATTGATTTTGTTAACATTTCTGCACATTCTTTGTATGGGTTTATTGTCAGTATAAATTCAATCCTGGAATTCTAAATAAAATAAACCTTCAGATCTTGTGTCCCTACAGGAAGTACGGAAGTATTTTCCCAAAAGATCATTAGCATCAATCTCATATTAATTTATCTATCAGACTCATTAAATTAAAAGTAAAAATCAGTCTTTTTTCGAGATTACTGTAGGCCCAGGATAGCAGTAGACGTGAGATTTTTTTGTATGTACTGACATTTTTTACATGAATCATTGTTTTGCAAAATAATGACTGTATAACGAGCATTTAATTATTTAAAATTAAATAAATTTTAATTTAACAATTTGAAGTTAATTACACTTACCTGAGTACGGTCATTTCTATTGTCTGCAATACACAATAATATATATTTTATTTAAAAATATTATTATTAAAAAATAGAATTTGGCATTACATCAAATCTTCATCGCTGTCACCAGTGTCTGTATCCGGGAATATATCTTTCATATCAGAATCTTCATCTAAATTAATAATACATTATTATGGCAGCATCAAATACAGGCTCCTTTGAAATAAAATCATTATCAATAATTTACACTGTGTCTTTAATTTTTTCTCACTTGTTTACGGAAAATATTTCGAAGAATTCAACCGAAATTTTTAAATACAATTCAAAAGTGAAATCTACATTTCCTATTACCTCATATTTCAGGCCCGTTATTTCTAAGGAATCAATAGCAAATTTTACATACTTCGGTTTATATAATTTTAAAATGGCATAAAGCTCTGTTCTGAGCAGGTTACCAGGAAGGAATATTTCTATCTTTTAGTTAATATCTCATTTTATTTTTTGTTGATACGGATGTTGGCGCTCTTGAGTATTATGATAGGGAGCATTGTCTATCACGATGACACTTATGATGTAGATTACTAGTTAGAAGAAGTTTTCTTTTTTTTTATTTGATAAAATTCATATTATTATGAGAATCGATCGATTTTGTTTGTGATCTCCATCTCATATTGCTTCGTTTCCCGCACACATAATGTGAATCCACAGTGTGCACAGTATTTCCAGGTCTATTCATATTATGGTTATATTGTATGCAACTATGTTTATAGTATAGAAGTATACAGTGGTGAGTGCGATATCAGCCGGCTTTTTAACGTAAGAGATAGAAAACACAGTTACCTTGTGAAATAAAAGGAGATGAAACTCGTAGAGGTGGGAAATAATCGATAGAAACCTATAATTTACATTACATTACATTACGACTATCGATAGTCTCACACCTTTAGACGTTACCTTCGATCTAAATCACCTCGGTCATAATTATTATGTTTGACAGTTTGACGTCGTATGTGTGACGTATTTTCATTTTTTAATTTAGATAAAGTAAAAACTGATTGACCACAATAAAGCAAAAATGTGAATAAAATAATTTAATTAATAGTGATTATTTATTCTAAAGTTTTAAGTTATTAACCAAGAATAATTTCTACTATGATTTTAGGAGTTTCATACACTCTTGTCACAGAAAATTAGCAATCCCTCGTGGATTAGTGGTAAGAATTCGACTCTGCGACGCAGATGATCAGAGTTCAAAACCTACATGAGGTTTTCTTTTTTCTTTTTTTAATAATTTGAAATTTTGCAAAGATCGTTTTGCTTTGAATCACTAAATATTTATGTCAGTCGTTACTAGTATTTGAAGTGTTTAAAGTTAAACATAAATATCTTATTGAAAAAATAGTGTCGTTGTACTTTCGAAACTAAAGTAAAATTCTTCAAAATTAAAAGAATGTTTAAATAAGTAAAAATTTTACAAAAATAAAAAAATATTGTAAATAAACGTATTTACAATATGTTCAAATAAACCTTCATTAGCAGCAGAATAATAACCCAAACTGTCACTAAAGTATTATAAAAGTCTGATAGATCAGGGCTGAAGGCACGATGTACTCATGCAGGCGGTTAGGGTTCAAATCCTACAAAAAGTTTTTACTTTTTTAAAAATTTGAAATTATGCAGATATTATATCGTTTTGCTTTAAATCATAAAACATTTATTTCAGTCTTTATTAGAAGTGTTTATAGTAAAACATGAAAATCTTATTGAAAAAACAATGTACTTTCTAAAATAAAGTAAAAATTCTTCAAACATAAAAGAACGTTCTAAATAAATGTACTTACAAAAAATGTTTAAATAAGCAGAAATTCTATAAAAATATTCTAAATAAACGTATTTTATTCTAATGAAATATATTTACAAAAAATGTTCAAATAAGCCTCCATTAGCAGCAGAACAATAACCCAGTCTATTATAAAAGTTTCGTCTAACATTAGTTAATGTTTCTGGACTAATACCTCTCATTGAATCAAAGATCTTTTCTCTTAATTCTTGGAGAGAATTAGGCCTATCATCTTCAATTCCATATAGTTTGGACTTGATATATCCCCACATAAAAAAAATCACAAGGTGCAAGATCAGGTGATCTTGCAGGCCAAAAAATATCTCCGTGTCCACTAATCAATCGATTAGGAAAAGTCGCACTGAGATATTCACTGGCGATGCGAGAATTATGTGCAGGACAACCATCGTGTTGAAACCATATGGAATCGAAAGGAATTGGTAAATTACGAAGGGCTGGGACAATTTGATTTTGCAGAAGTTCCAAGTATTTCCGCCCAGTCAACATACCGTCTATAAAAAATGGACCAATGACATGATTCCCTATTATGCCTCCCCAAACATTTACTTTTTGAGGACGAGCAACATAAATCTGACGAGGATTTCCTCGGGACCAATACCGAGCATTCATTGAATTGTGACGGCCATGCAATGAAAACGTACATTCATCGGTGAACAAGACGTTCTCTAAAAAATGTTCATCTTGATGTGACATTTCCATTGCAGTTTGACAAAATTCTAAACGTCTATATTGATCCCCAGGGAATTGTTCGTTGGATTTATGAAGTTTATAGGGTCGGTATCCATGCCTTTTCAAAATTTTACCAACTCTAAATCTTGAAATTCCATATTGTTCTCCGAGACGAGATGTTGATTGGGTAGGATTTTGCTCAATACTTGCACAAATCAAAGTGTCTCTTAGTTCCAAATCTGGATTTACCTCCCTTCGCCTACGAACTCCTCTTGGAGCGAACACGGATCCATAAGTAAAAAAATTACGTATAATAGATTGAATTGTTGATCGTGATGGAGCCGGCCTGTTTGAAAACATATTTACAAATTGTTGTCTAATCATGTTGTCTGAGAATCCATTCACATGCCAGACAACAATTTGCACTTTTTTCCTCGACCGTTAAAACCATTTTTACGAATTGTTTTTTCAATAAAAAGTTTCTGTTTACCGTGCAAAAACACTTCTCGATATGTTATTATTTGATGGCTTAAAGGCTTTGCTTCGCGCGCATCCATTCCAATGTTGTCAATTGTTTTGAAAATCATTATCTGTACAGAGGAATTGATATTAACATTGAGAATTTAGTGATGGATTTGATATAAACAGTCTTCACCGGATTATTTTGCATTCACAACTAAAGACTGTATGAATTGAATTTGAATCATTTTGTATTTCCGTTTTATAACATTGGAATAAAAATAAATTGTAAATAATGAGTTTTTCGAAAATTTGTTACCTAATATGTATCATATTTTCTATTATTTTTTTATTGATAAAACAAAAATTTTATCCTTGGTGTGGAATTGAACCCCAATTTTCTCGTCAATAGACAACGTCCCTAACGACTACACCAATTTCACATACATTAAGTGTTTCCAGACAAAACATACCCACCTTTATTTTAGTCAAATATTTCAGTTGAGTTATTTTTACTATTAAGTAAATTTAAAGATTTATAATTTAAAATCGCTACTAATGAATGTTTTTTACTATAACATATCTTAATTTATTCAAGTATTTATTCTAACATCAGAAATTATTAAAATAAAATATTTTTGAGGGTATCCGTATAATTATGACTGAAGTCAAATAGCCACGTCCAACGTCTAAAGGTGTGAGACTGTCGATGGTGGTAATGCAATGTAATGTAAATTATAGGTTTCTATCGATTATTTCCCACCTCTACGAGTTTCATCTCCTTTTATTTCACAAGGTAACTGTGTTTTCTATCTCTTACGTTAAAATGCCGGGTGATATCGCACTCACCACTGTACAGTCACAATCTAGTAAAGTAACTTCTACACCTTACAAAATAATACATAATGTATTTACAATTAAAGATATGTTTGGTTAAAAGTGTTGTTTGTTTCAGCCAAATGAAAATTACAAAAGAATAGAGTTACATAGGATCGACAACCATTTTCCCGGTTCTGCTAATCGATCTTTAGCTGTTGTACTTTATGGTCAAATAGGAACTAAGTCGTTTGGTGAATTTCACGGAGTTTTAAAACAAGCAGCTCTAGACGGAAAGATCGATTATGTCATCCGTCATTATGTTAAGGTAATTTAAAATTTTATCATTAATTGAAAATTTTTTAAAACGTGTTCTTTAAACAAAATATTAATACAATTCTAAAAGTTCTATTAAACAGAACAGATATGACGCAATAATTTACAACTTCTATTTCGTCATTTATAATTAATTCTACAGACAAGTCAAAGGTGCTCCAATGGGTTCCCTCATTATGTCCTGCAATTGCAAATATCTTTATGGAAGATTTCTAAATCCGTGCACTATTCTCATTGATTTTGAAAAATAAAAACACATATTATCTAACTTTCAAATAACCAATGCATTACTGTAATGTTCATACATATAATATAGTAATGCATTTGTTAGTGATCAGTGTAGTAGCATCTGAAGGCTAGGGAGACCGAGACCTCCGAAGCCCTGAAGAAGACATCGAAGAGGATGTCGAAAGCTCGGCGCAATGATAATCGACGCGATTCAACATGGAAGACTTTTGAGTTTAAAAGTGAAACGGTCTGAAGACGAAGAGAATTTATGTGTTTGAAAAACGTAATTTTGACTAATGTAAACACACCACTTCCGTCTCCAATCTTTGTGGCAGCTGTAACTTAGTGGCTATGATGCTGGCTTACAAGCCGGCCGGCACGGGTTCGATCTCTGGCACAAATCCCAGAAAGTTTTGAATTTCTAATTTAACTGAGCCGCCACCACGTTTCGGAGGTCACATAAAGCCGTCGATATTGGATACGTAAGTAGTCGTCGACACTAAAACCTGAATGAATAGTAATGTGAAGGCTACACGAATGGAACAACGATTGGCTGCAGTGCGACAAACGCTTTCGAAAAAAAATCTCAGATCTTTCAGAAAATAGGTTTTCTTTTTTTTATTCATAATATATAAGTTCTTATTTATTTATTTATAGGGAAACGACTCTAAAAACCTACGGTTGTCTGGATATGGAGTGGAACTTCAAATGAAATCAACTGAATATAAATCTCAAGATGACACGGAACTACATGAAGATCAGAACTCAGCTGAAGCTTCGCAGGAGGAGGAGGATACAGAATTGAAGGATTTGATTTTGCAAAACTTAAGTAAGGATATTCGCCATTAGTTTATTTTGAATTTTATATAAATGTTTATATTATAGGTTATTTTTTTTAAATTTCTAATAATAGTTGGGTTAGGTTAGATCAGATTAAAGGGAAATAAACCATTAAGAAACGTAAAAGTCGAGTTTAGAGCGAAAAAATACTGTTACTGTAGTATTGGTTGTCTGGATCCTAAATGTTTTACCTACTAATATTACATAATATATATGATCAATAACAAAAAAGCCTAGATGTTAAATAGTGTTAGCAATAAATGTTATTTTAAGATTGGTGATAAAATATCAAGGATATAAAATATACAAAAAGAAAGAGGATAAGTGAAAAAGAACTAAAAATCACACAGAAAGATTGAAAGACAATGTTAGCCAAATTGAACTTAAAGATATATTTTCCAAATATTCTCTGTCGTCTTTATTCCTCAGAAGATTTTTCTGAGCACCTTTCTCCCCCACGTCTCTACTTTCTTCTCTCCCTGCTGGTTCATAATCCGCGTTTCGCTGGCATACATCACTATGGGCCTGATTACTGTCTCGTAGACTCGCAGTTTAGATGTTCTTTACACGTTTTTTCGTTCAGTATTCAAATTAGTGACCCTATCGCTCTGCTTCTCTTCATTAATCTTTTGTCTATCTCTTTTCCTTCTGTTCCCGTGTTCGTTACGGTTACTCCTAAGTATTCAAATTCTGACACTTTTTCAAAACTGTAGACAGTCTCCGCTCCTTTCATTTTGATATATTTGTTATCATTTGTTATGTCTCCTCTCATTTCCATATATTGCGTTTTTGTTAAAAACCTGACTTTTCAACGCGTTACAATCTTCTTCTTTGGGTGCCGTGTCCGTATTCAGACGTTGGCCGTCATCATGCTTACGATTTCCTGAAACCTTTCTCTGTCGGCTGCTGCGCGAAATAATTCTTCTACTGTGAAACCACACCATTGTCTAATATTACGCAGCCATGAAAGTTTCTTTCGACCAATCCATCTCTTTCCTTCCACTTTTCCTTGTATTATAAGGCGAAGTAAATGGTATTTGGGTCCTCTAATTATATGGCCGAAGTATTCTGTTTTTCTCCTCTTTATGATGTTTATGAGCAGACGTTCTGAGTTGATCATTTGAAGAACATCTTCATTGGAAGTGTGCGAAACCCACGATATCTTTAGGATTCGTCTATAGCACCACATTTCGAATGCTTCTAACTTGTTTAGCATTGTGGTTTTTAACGTCCATGTCTCACAACCATACAATAGGATCGACCACACATAACATTTCAGGACCTTCTTACGAATGTTCATTGACAGGTGTCTGTTGCATAAAACTGGTTTCCAGGTCATAAAAGCCTTACGTGATATTTCGGTCCTGGATATTATCTCTTCATCAGAGTCACAATTTACATTTAACCAGCTGCCAAGGTATTTGAAATAATTTACCCTTTCTATCTCTTCTCCATTAAGAGAAAGCAGACCTTGATCTATATGGATCTTTCCAACTGCCATCCACTTTGTCTTTGAAATGTTGATTTTTAGGCCTCTCCGATAACTTGCTTCACTGACTAGATTTAGTAATGTTTAGAGATCTTGTAAACTTTCTGCAAGAATGGCTGTATCGTCAGCGTATCTAATATTGTTGATTACTTCTCCACCTAGTCTTACTCCCTCTTGTCTGTCATCCAAAGCCTCCCTAAAGATTTTTTCAGAGTACAGATTAAAAAGAGTGGGTGACAAAACACAACCCTGCCGTACTCCACGTTTGATGGGTATTTTTTCAGTGGGACTGTCTCCAATTTGGATAGAGGCTACTTGATTGTAATATAAGTATTTCAGCAGTCTTATATCATAGTGGTCAAGTCCTGCTGCCCGTAGGCAGTCGAAAAGTGTATTGTGTTGGACTCTGTCGAACGCCTTCTCGAAGTCGATGAAACAAACATAAACATTCTTTCGGAATTCACAACTTTTTTGTAATTGAACGCGCATACAGAATAGTGCCTCTCTAGTTCCTAGACCGTTTCTAAATCCAAATTGCTTATCACCCATCTTACTTTAGGAATACTCGGTTTTGTATAATCCGTAAGAGTATCTTCAGTGTGTGACTCATCAAACTGATTAGTCTAAAATTGCTGCATTTGGTGGGCCTGCTTTTCTTTGGTAATGTTATAAACAGTGACTCTAACCAATCATCTGGTATTTTTCCTTCGTTGTAAATTTTGTTGAAGAAAGTGGTTAAGCAGGCAATGCTTTCCTCATCCAAAAGTTTAATGCGTTACAATACATAACTTTAATAATTGAAGAATTAAAGGTAATAAGAAGTATAATACACTATACAACAACGGTTTGTATCCCCAATGATTAAATATAGTGTTAGGATGATAGCGATAGGTTTTACTGGAATATGTTACAAATATATGATGTTAAAAGTTTCTGTAAAGTAAATCCTCACATTTTCTAATTTTCAGACAAATATTCCCGAACCTTAAAAATCAGTTAGATAAATTTAAAACACATCTTGAAGACACTTCTAGTGAATTGGCTCCATTGAAGGTGTGGCAGTTTCAAGAGCTTAGTTTACAAGCTGCCGAAAGAATTATGAATGCTCCTAGGGAGGAAGCATTGAAGATATTGACCAATACTGCTCAAAATTTTCCAATGCAGGTAATAATTCTTTTTATGTTGATGATAATATACTAATTAAAATTAAAATAGTTATACCTAGTCCTGGCATAAATATTGATACAAGGTAGGTATTTAACTAAAAAAAGTTAAGCTGCTAGTTTACTTTTTTTGCACATTAAACCACATACTACAAAACAAAATTCAAATTGGCCTTCATTTGTCTGAATACAGCACCGAAGTATGTAAGGTCATTCATCAATCGTTGCACGGACGACATCCATAGGAAAATTGTCTATAGCTTCTAACAGCGCCTGTTTCAATGCCTCCAGATTATAGTGACGTCTTGTACAAACCATGCCCTCTAAAACGTACTACAATTTGTAGTTGAGTGGATTAAGGTCTGGGCTGTCTGATGGCCAATGGTCACTACTAATAAATTCGGGTACATGATTTTCAAGCTAGTGTTGAGAAGTTTTGGCCTTATGCGCAGGTGCAGTCATGTTGAAATATCCATAGTATATACCACAGTATGGCTTAGGGACTTAATTAAATGTGTTAAACTTTCTCGCTGATAATTACTCGCCACTGTTTTAAACATCTTTTTCATAAGATTATAAAGAAGTGACGTCATCACTGAGGCGGAATAATGACCTTGTTAAATTATTGGAACCAGTTCCTTAAATGACCGATACACTCTATCGTTTTGGTTATTGTAAGTTTCCTCTTCAGTAAAAATATGTTTATCTTTAAAGGGGATTGTTTGAAACGCTCTTTACCGTACAGACAACAGGCGTCTTGATTTTTTCATATTTTGTTTTAATGCAACAGTGAGGCGCAATCATGTTTGTCGTTTAACCTCCTCAGTCCCAAGAAAAGAGTTTTTATTATTTTAGCAATATTTTCTATTTTCCCTCTTGATTTGTGAAAAAAATAAACGAAAAGAGGAGTCCAAAAAAACGTCCAAATATCAATTAACATAAATGACAAACAATCAATAATTTAAAATACAGAACAACACTACAACTTACTGCATTTTTGTGGAGACGCCATCATAACCTCACAAGTTTCACCACATGTAACAACAAACTAATGAAGTAGGCGTTGTAGTCAAATTTTGCAAACGAGTAAATTTTACTGATAAATAGGAAGTCCAATAAGCTGCACTATAGGACGCGGCGATGCTTAACCCGATTAGTCACCGTGTAAAAAATTATTAAACATTGTCCAGCAGGCTGCACGTATGGACTGAGGAGGTTAAAGATCCTAAGTCGTAAGTCCCAAGTCTTGTTTGATAATGCGATTCATGGTTTTCGGCGTAATAGTCGGAGTAATAATTTTTTGTTTTCGGACAGGATTTCAGTTTAATTTTTTTACTAACAGCGTTAATAATCTGTGGCGTACAAGCCACGCGAGGCCGGCCGGATCTTTTTCGCTTACTTAATCCTCTCATATTCAAAAAGATCTTAATAGTACTATATACAAAATCAAGCTTAATATTTAACGTTTTTAGTAATTCTAAATTATATGACCTTTCTATTCCGCACTTATGAAGAGCAATGACAGCAATACGTTTTACTTTCAGTAAGTTCATTGCTTATTTTTACTCTTGCTGTTTGACCCCAGTATAGATGTGTCTGTGTCTCTGTCTAATACCTGTCTTTTGTACAATACCTATTAGTTGAATATCGTACTGGGTGACAATCGGGAGCCGGATGTTTTTAGAACGCATAGTACGAAGCTTGAGCGGGAGAAGCGCGGCGTTACTATTATGTAGTAGTGTGCCATTTCACTAAACATGGAGTAGTGACATGTAGAGCATCGGAAGTTACGAAATCGTTTATACATACGATACGTTTATTCGAAATCAAGAATCAGTGATCATTCGGCAGCGGCTTTTTCACTTTAATATTGATAGGCGTGGAGCGGTTCCATCTCGCAACAGGCAGTGTCATGAAAAAAAGCAACAAGGTTTGAATAGAATAGTAAGAACTCTTGTAAACATACAGCAAGTGAGAGATGCCGTCATCAGAAGCCCTACAACGGTCCGCGTGAACATGCAATTGACATAAACATTAATCGGGAATCGTTTAGAAAAATGTTGCATAAGTACCTAAAATTTCACTCCTACAAATTTCAGATTGTCCAGAAATTAATGGAAAGATATGTTAAACAACGTGAGGATTTCGCTACGAGAATGCAAGTTCTTTTGGAGGATAACTTACGTCAGCATCTTCTAATGAGCGATGAAGCTCATTTCCGTTTGGACAGAACCGTTAATAAACAGAATTACTGGTATTGTAATTCTGTTTTTGTCACGCGTCCGTGACCCACGGAACGCGTCGTTTCATCAGGATGGTGCTACGGCATATACTGCCCATGCTTTAATGAATATTCTCCGCAACCTGTTCCCATGATAACTAATTTCACATTTCGGAGATTTGCCGTGGCCTCCAAGGTCTTCAGACCTATCAATTTGTAACTTTTATGGGGTTATTTAAAGGGTCGTGTATATGCTAGCAAGTCTCGTAATTTGATGGAGTTGAAGAAAGCAGTTCGCCAGGAAATCTTGACTATTGATCGAGCTATGTTAAAGCGTGTTATGGAGGATTGTCACCCATATGGGGTTAAACCACAATTTATTGTAATATATCATATACAATTAACTACATATTAACTACTACACACACAAACTACACAAAATATAATATGTTTATATGGAATTACAAAAGATTTAAAATACACAAAACATCGCCATACAATAACGACTCGAGATGAAGTTACTATTAATCTTTGAAAGAAAAGTATTGAGGTATATAATTTGTAACTCTATAGTCTTTTGGTGACCCAGATATCGTGAAAACCATCAAAATAAACCGCCTAAGATAGGTGGGCCACGATATGAGGATGGATGAAAATGATCCTGCTAAATAGGATAGTTAGAAGAAGAAAAAGGGGGCGATCTAAATTCAGAGATATGGACGATGCGCAGGACGATCCCATTTCAAGGAAATTTGAGTAAGGGGATGAAAAAGACAGACACTCGACAGTGAAGGTTCACTCGACAGTTAACCCTACGAGGGTAAAACATCAACCTCAGAACTTCAACTCAAAACATGGCTTTTTGCTTACAAAATTGAATCCTGTCAAATTGGTTTTTACAAAGTGCTAACACAAATGTAAAATGTAATTTTTATTACAATCAATTGAGGTTTAGTCAATATACATACAATATTTAATTTAAACATGCCAAAAGAAAAATATTTTAGAACATCTATTAGTTGTTTATGATTTACATTGTCAAATGTTGATCTAAAATCCACAAATCATAAATACATATCCTTATTCAAGTCACTTTACCTCTATATAAGCATCTGGAGAGAGAAAACTGATTTTCTAGTTATAAGGGCTTTCCTAAAGCCAAATTGCGATCTATCAATATTTGATTCACATTTATCATATATTTTTCTATGGATCTTGATGAACGCTATGCTACAAGATGTAGGTCTACTACGTTGAATGCTTTCCTGTTTTTTACTTAATTGCCATTAATTTAACAATTTAATTTAAAAAACTAATGGTTTATTATATTTAGGCTAAAGGATTAGCAAAAACTACAGTAAATGCAAACTTGAAAGCGGAAATGAAGAAAAATAGCAATATGTTTGCCGCCCACCTTAACCTACAACCCTCAGATACAGCTTTGTTTATCAATGGAATGTTCTACGATATTGACTTAGTGGATGTGTATGGGATACTAGAAATTTTACGCCAGGAACTTAAAACTATGGAAGGACTACACGGTCTAGGCATAAGCAATAAACGAATGTCTTCATTGCTGGAATTAGATTTTGGAGATGACCAAAACGGTCAAGACTTTGCCATTGATATCAGAGATTCCGCTATAAATTGGATTAATGACATCGAGCAAGATCCCAAGTAAGTTTTATTATATGAAAGGGTTTTTGTATATATTTTTGTACACTCATTTATATATCATAACCAATCTTTTTTAACAGGTATGCTAGATGGTCGAGCTCACTCATGGAGTTATTACGTCCCACGTTTCCTGGTATGTTACGTCAAGTAAGAAGAAATTTGTACAACTTGGTAAGTCGATAAGTTTTTTTCTTGAATTCATTTAAATTATTAATAATTTTGTAGTAGTTGGTGGTTTTCAAAAATTTCCGATATTGAAAAAAGATTAATGTAAATGTTACCCCCATATTGGTTTATCGCAGATCTGTCTATATCTATCATCAAATGTCCATTTGGGAAAATTTGTTCATTATTTTGTAAGAAAGTACTGGAAGCAAAATGCATTGTGATGTTGCCCATATGTATAATGATTCGTTGTTGGTCAAATGGATAGAAGTCTGGGGATTGTGCTGGTCATTTCAATGCATCAGTAAATTAATTGTTCAACGTGTGACACAAGAATTCCGATGTATAGACGAGCATTATCGTACGCAAAAGAAACTAGGTCGGTTCTGCCACCCATAATTATTCCGTCCCGTAACGTTATTGTACCGACTCTGGCAATGTTTCAAACGGTCTACTTTTCCCGATCGTCTCGGATTGATCTTTCATTTGGATTCTCGGTATAAACCTGTAGTCTAGTCATTTTTTTACTCTAGTCTTGATATTTGCGACAACACTGCAGTGTGGGTACCCGTGGGAAGAGGTGGACATCAAAGATCACGATTGAATTCGTGGAGACGATTCCTCACGGTATCTCGACCTATGACCTATAGTTTCTTGATATGCCGGTCCATTTCAGATGATCTAATTGTAGGTTGTCTTCTAGCGGTTAAAGCTAAAAAGAATATTGAACTGCGATTGTAAAACGTCTTCGTTCTAGATGTTGCTCAGCTGCCTAGCCCTATTCATTTCGATAAGTTATATATATATATATATATATAATATATATATATATATATATATATATATATAATATATATATATATATGTATATATATATATATATAATATATATATATATATACGGATATATTGGGTTTAGTAGTCAATATATTGGCCTTTAAGTAAAACTCTTTTAGGTTTGCTAAGCTTTCGAGTTTATTTTACTCTTTTTCAAAACATACTAAAAATTAACATAAAAAATTTACATTAGAAAAATGAAGTTCTTATGTCTTAAATAGGCTTACCCTTGTGAGAATTGTCTTTTAAAATTAGCAAAATTTTACATTTTGTCATTATGTCATTAACATAGTGACATTAAATTTGATTTACTTTTTATTTCTGTCAAAACTTATTACTAAGGTTTCCATATCTCTTCTATTTTTTATATTTATTTTAGGTGAGTTTGACAGAAGAAGTGTCTATGTTTATGCAAACCTTCATTGCAAATTTTGATATAATATTAGTTATTAAACAAGCAACAGAGTTTATGTTTCTAAGTATTTAAGAAAGAAAAAATACAAATAAAAATAAATTTTATCTCATTTGAACTTGGAATAATCCCTTTCATATGCGTAATTTTAAGAACTTTTATATTGTTATTCTTTTATTTTAAAGAAGATTACTGTATATAGCACTAAGATTTTCAATGTCTTCTCTTTTGTTTAAGGTGTTTTGTGTAGTTTTAATTAAACACATTTCTAGAAACAGTCTTTTGTTGTAATTTCTTTCCCTTCTCAATATTTCTGTTTGATCATAGTTAGGCGTATGGCCCATTGTAATACAATGTTCACTTAATGCACAGGCTTGTACTTTATTCAGATTAATATCACTCTTGTGAGATGTTAATCTTCCGGATAAATTTCTGGACGTTTCTCCAATATATATTCTATTACAATTATTACAGGGTAGAGAGTATACTACATTGGAGCTTTCTCTATTATTTAAGGGTGTTTTAAGTTTAGTATATAATTTCGATATTGTTTTTATATTTCTGGTTCCAATTTTGATATTAGGTACTTCTCTAAATGTATTTAGTAGTCTATTTGTTAAACCTGGAATATATGGTAAAGAGTGGTACAATGTATTTTGGTTGTTTGTTGAAACTTCTGTTTGATTTGTTCTGATGACTTGAGAGATACCAAAAATAAGTCTATTTAGAAGTTTCGCTGGGAAGGAATTTTCTAACATGATCGTTTTTAGTTTTTTAAGACCGGCTGTTTTATATTCAGGATGTGATAAACTTATAACCCTACTTTTCATATTTAATACTAGGTTGGTCTTCATCTTAGATGGATGTGCTGAAAAGTAATTAATAAACCTGTTGCTACATATTGGTTTTCTATACCATTCTGTTTTTAGAACGTTGTTTGAATCACGGTGTACCATCATATCTAGAAATGGTATGCAGTTGTTATTTTCTAATTCTACTGTAAATTGTAAGTCTGGACAGTAACTGTTAAATATGTGTAGTGTTTCCTTTAATTATTTAATACTATTTAATATGTTAAATAGTATTAAATATGAAAAGTAGGGTTATAAGTTTATCACATCCTGAATATAAAACAGCCGGTCTTAAAAAACTAAAAACGATCATGTTAGAAAATTCCTTCCCAGCGAAACTTCTAAATAGACTTATTTTTGGTATCTCTCAAGTCATCAGAACAAATCAAACAGAAGTTTCAACAAACAACCAAAATACATTGTACCACTCTTTACCATATATTCCAGGTTTAACAAATAGACTACTAAATACATTTAGAGAAGTACCTAATATCAAAATTGGAACCAGAAATATAAAAACAATATCGAAATTATATACTAAACTTAAAACACCCTTAAATAATAGAGAAAGCTCCAATGTAGTATACTCTCTACCCTGTAATAATTGTAATAGAATATATATTGGAGAAACGTCCAGAAATTTATCCGGAAGATTAACATCTCACAAGAGTGATATTAATCTGAATAAAGTACAAGCCTGTGCATTAAGTGAACATTGTATTACAATGGGCCATACGCCTAACTATGATCAAACAGAAATATTGAGAAGGGAAAGAAATTACAACAAAAGACTGTTTCTAGAAATGTGTTTAATTAAAACTACACAAAACACCTTAAACAAAAGAGAAGACATTGAAAATCTTAGTGCTATATACAGTAATCTTCTTTAAAATAAAAGAATAACAATATAAAAGTTCTTAAAATTACGCATATGAAAGGGATTATTCCAAGTTCAAATGAGATAAAATTTATTTTTATTTGTATTTTTTCTTTCTTAAATACTTAGAAACATAAACTCTGTTGCTTGTTTAATAACTAATATTATATCAAAATTTGCAATGAAGGTTTGCATAAACATAGACACTTCTTCTGTCAAACTCACCTAAAATAAATATAAAAAATAGAAGAGATATGGAAACCTTAGTAATAAGTTTTGACAGAAATAAAAAGTAAATCAAATTTAATGTCACTATGTTAATGACATAATGACAAAATGTAAAATTTTGCTAATTTTAAAAGACAATTCTCACAAGGGTAAGCCTATTTAAGACATAAGAACTTCATTTTTCTAATGTAAATTTTTTATGTTAATTTTTAGTATGTTTTGAAAAAGAGTAAAATAAACTCGAAAGCTTAGCAAACCTAAAAGAGTTTTACTTAAAGGCCAATATATTGACTACTAAACCCAATATATCCGTATATATTATTCACATAGTCACTACAGCCCTTTCTAAGAGAATATATATATATATATATATATAATATATATATATATATATATATATATATATATAATATATATATATATAATAATATATGGGAAAAAGGAGTACGACCGTCAAATTCCAATATATAAAAGGATCACTCAACAGAGTGGTGGGCTCTTATATCGGTCAATTTGTAGGTGGAGAAATGAAAGACAAAGTTGATGTGCCACTCTATCTATTTTGAAAACGTTTCGCTTTCGTATTCTGAAAGCATCATCAGTTCATTCTAAAAAGTATAATATAAGAACCACACAATCATGGAAAAGATGTTACAGGTGTTACCTTAAAAAGACATGTAGCAGTCAAAGATGTTAACAAGCTTATGAATTAAACTTGAATAAATGGACAATATAAAGTAGAAATGTATAAACATTTAATTTACTAACAACATTTAGTGACTTATTAAAAAATTAGCACAGTGAGTGACCATGTGGTCAGAAGTATAAAAAATATATATTAAATTATAACGTAGTTGATGCAAAGAACTAAGAAAATCAACGATTAACTTCCAACAATAGATAATTATTAAATTTTAATTTTAACTTTTGGTAGCATTATTAAAAGATGTTAATATAATTTAAAAATAAAATAAGTGTAAAAGAATGAAGTTACCGGTCTAAGCCTTACACCTGCTACCAGGAAAATGGCGTTAGATTGAACAGACTGACACAGATCTACGAAAAGACAGCCAACCTTGAGGTTGAAATTATTTCAACAGAACAGCAAGGTCAGAGGTACCACCTCAAATAATTGAGCGGTTTATTTAAAAGTTAATGAGCTTTGGATGACAGCCCGCTTGTAAGAGACAATCCAATGAAAGAGACTGATATAGTAATAACAATCAATCGCATTAGCCCGTCTAAAAACAAACAAACAGGAGAATTTCATTCAAACTCTTATATTTAAATTTATGTTAAACATTGTGGCTGAAGAAATTTTAGCCAACAGGTGAATAACAATTAGATAATTTCCAACAGTCTAAGCTTCACACACTTAGATCTGTAATTTGTAAAGGATTCTATGAATCAATTACAATGTTAATATTATTACTATACTATTAAATAGTGACTGGTTCACACTCATATGGACAAATTATAATGTAGAGGTAACCTTGTAATGAAAGTTGCCTATATTTAAGTAATTGCTATAAAGAATTGAGTGTTATAGTTTATTTTATATTAGTTATTTATTTACTATGTTATATTATTCATTAAAAAAATTTGTGTTCAAATATGTATATTACATGATAATTATATTGAAAATGAAAGTAAAGCCTAGTTCTGCAATATTAGAGCATGATAAATTTGGCTCAAGTTACTTATGTCAGTTCTCTTATTTAGAGAATTAGGATGTTTAAGAATTGAACACATTTCTAAAAACTGTCTTTTAAATAGATTACGTTCAGTGCCAAGAATCTTAACTTCATTAAAATCCACTTTATGTTTGGTGCTAATAGCATGATGTGCGAGAGCACACGTATTTTTTGATAAATTAATATCACTACGATGGGAAGTAAGACGACCTTTTAAAGATCTACCGGTCTGGCCAATGTAGCACAATTCACAGTCAGAGCATGGAAGGTAGTAAATTGTATTGACTTGTTCTAAAGTAGACAATGGTGTTTTAGTTTTTGAAAAAAGATTTCTAACAGTTTTTGCGTTCTTGACAGCAATTTTAACAGGAATGTTATTTTGTTTATACAGTTTAATAAGTTTCTCAGTAACTTGAGGAAAATAAGGTAGAGAAGAATAATGGATAATAGGATTCTCAGACTCAGTATCAGGCAGAACAATGCTATTAATTGAGTTATTTGAAATAGTTCTGAGTTGGTCACCATTGGGTATGTCATCAAACGAGGAACCATAGCTTTGTGTGTAAAGGTATTTGTTTATGATAGATGATGGATATGAGTTCTGTATTAGAATATTTCTTAATAACTTAAGGGATTCCCTTCGATTAATTGGATGTGTCAATTTATGTAATCTGCAGCTTAAAGCTTGTATAAGGTTTAGTTTATACTTCATAGGGTGACAGGAGTGGTAATTAAGGAACCTATTGGAGGCCATGGGTTTTCTATACCAACTTGTGGTTAGGGTGTTATCTCCCATTCTAATGACACGCATGTCTAAGATCACCAGCATCACCAATAGCATTCCCTTCTTAGACATGCGTGTCATTAGAATGGGAGATAACACCCTAACCACAAGTTGGTATAGAAAACCCATGGCCTCCAATAGGTTCCTTAATTACCACTCCTGTCACCCTATGAAGTATAAACTAAACCTTATACAAGCTTTAAGCTGCAGATTACATAAATTGACACATCCAATTAATCGAAGGGAATCCCTTAAGTTATTAAGAAATATTCTAATACAGAACTCATATCCATCATCTATCATAAACAAATACCTTTACACACAAAGCTATGGTTCCTCGTTTGATGACATACCCAATGGTGACCAACTCAGAACTATTTCAAATAACTCAATTAATAGCATTGTTCTGCCTGATACTGAGTCTGAGAATCCTATTATCCATTATTCTTCTCTACCTTATTTTCCTCAAGTTACTGAGAAACTTATTAAACTGTATAAACAAAATAACATTCCTGTTAAAATTGCTGTCAAGAACGCAAAAACTGTTAGAAATCTTTTTTCAAAAACTAAAACACCATTGTCTACTTTAGAACAAGTCAATACAATTTACCACCTTCCATGCTCTGACTGTGAATTGTGCTACATTGGCCAGACCGGTAGATCTTTAAAAGGTCGTCTTACTTCCCATCGTAGTGATATTAATTTATCAAAAAATACGTGTGCTCTCGCACATCATGCTATTAGCACCAAACATAAAGTGGATTTTAATGAAGTTAAGATTCTTGGCACTGAACGTAATCTATTTAAAAGACAGTTTTTAGAAATGTGTTCAATTCTTAAACATCCTAATTCTCTAAATAAGAGAACTGACATAAGTAACTTGAGCCAAATTTATCATGCTCTAATATTGCAGAACTAGGCTTTACTTTCATTTTCAATATAATTATCATGTAATATACATAGTTGAACACAAATTTTTCAATGAATAATATAACATAGTAAATAAATAACTAATATAAAATAAACTATAACACTCAATTCTTTATAGCAATTACTTAAATATAGGCAACTTTCATTACAAGGTTACCTCTACATTATAATTTGTCCATATGAGTGTGAACCAGTCACTATTTAATAGTATAGTAATAATATTAACATTGTAATTGATTCATAGAATCCTTTACAAATTACAGATCTAAGTGTATGAAGCTTAGACTGTTGGAAATTATCTAATTGTTATTCACCTGTTGGCAAAAATTTCTTCAGCCACAATGTTTAACATAAATTTAAATATAAGAGTTTGAATGAAATTCTCCTGTTTGTTTGTTTTTAGACGGGCTAATGCGAGTGATTGTTATTACTATATCAGTCTCTTTCATTGGATTGTCTCTTACAAGCGGGCTGTCATCCAAAGCTCATTAACTTTTAAATAAACCGCTCAATTATTTGAGGTGGTACCTCTGACCTTGCTGTTCTGTTGAAATAATTTCAACCTCAAGGTTGGCTGTCTTTTCGTAGATCTGTGTCAGTCTGTTCAATCTAACGCCATTTTCCTGGTAGCAGGTGTAAGGCTTAGACCGGTAACTTCATTCTTTTACACTTATTTTATTTTTAAATTATATTAACATCTTTTAATAATGCTACCAAAAGTTAAAATTAAAATTTAATAATTATCTATTGTTGGAAGTTAATCGTTGATTTTCTTAGTTCTTTGCATCAACTACGTTATAATTTAATATATATTTTTTATACTTCTGACCACATGGTCACTCACTGTGCTAATTTTTTAATAAGTCACTAAATGTTGTTAGTAAATTAAATGTTTATACATTTCTACTTTATATTGTCCATTTATTCAAGTTTAATTCATAAGCTTGTTAACATCTTTGACTGCTACATGTCTTTTTAAGGTAACACCTGTAACATCTTTTCCATGATTGTGTGGTTCTTATATTATACTTTTTAGAATGAACTGATGATGCTTTCAGAATACGAAAGCGAAACGTTTTCAAAATAGATAGAGTGGCACATCAACTTTGTCTTTCATTTCTCCACCTACAAATTGACCGATATAAGAGCCCACCACTCTGTTGAGTGATCCTTTTATATATATATATATATATATATATATATATATATATATATATATATATATATATATATATATACTCAATTCCACGAATATACGACTGTTTTAAATTCGCTTTAAGGTGTCGACTTAAATAGCCCAATGTACTGAATTGTACAATAGTAAATTCTCCTCATTTTTAAAATACTGTTACGACAGATATAAATCTTAGATTTAAATATGAAGTCATGATATAAATATAAAGTTAATAGTTTATAGAACAGTTGTAATTCAGATTTTGAAGTATATAATTACTATCATGGAGTTTAGTGTTGTAAACAAGTTGGTTTTTGAATTGTGTGATTTAAACGAAATGTAAGTGATCAAATAGTGTAATTTTTTTAGTCGAATATTCAATTAGTATTAAAAAAACAAAAAAACGTATTATTCACTTATTCTCTTAATCTTCTAAAACTATCATCAACGATCAGATTGACAGTCATAATCAGTCGGCGATATATGAAACTGAATATAAATTTTCGTTACTTTTTAATATCTGTAACGACTCGGTACTTTAACTATCAATAGCCGGTATGTTATACCCGTTCCTTTCGAAACTTTTAAGAGTACATAAACTCAAAGCAAACAAATATTTAAAACTAACAAAGCGAAATATTAGATCCTTTTTCTGATTTCTGAACCATCGTTCTGCCCATTTCTTTTCATTTATATTAAAAATAGTATATTTCTTTTTATTACAGTTGTAATACCTAATAAAGTCATAAAATAGTGTAATATCAAAGAAACCCGGCACGCCTCTTTGGTGTTTACATTTCACGGAAAGCTTACCCAAATGTCTGATGAACACGTTTTGCTTCATAGACGTAATTGTATTTATTTGTAGATTTTAACTGAAATAATTTTAGTTTAGATGTCATACTAGTAGACCCTTTTTATTGGAATAATGATTGGACCAATTTACCTTCATACTTCAACTTGCACAGTAAAACATTCGTTGTCAGCAGTAAACCAAAACAGTCGTATATTCGTAGAATAGCCGATTATTTATATTCTAGGTTCTAATCATCGACCCTACTGATAAATCCTCGTCTGAATTATTGAAATTAGTGGAATCATTTGTAGTTCACACAGCTCCTATACGAGTCGGCCTAGTTTTTAATATTACTGCTAAATCCGACGCCACTGGCCTCGAAGATGTCGGAGTAGCAATGCAGTGTGCCTTGAATTACATTACACAGTCCAAAGATGCCGCTACAGCGCTTACTTTTGTTAGAACTTTATTAACGTCTGTAGAAGAAAAACTTACGATAGAAGATATTAAAAAACACCTGCGTAAAGACTATGACGAAGATCCTGTCGATATATTGGGTAAGTTTAATAAACATCTAATGATGTAATTGAATTTATTAAAGTTCTTAAGCATATTGTTTACTAACTTTTATTTATCTATAGGTGAAGATTCCGTATACGATTTTGGACGTCAACTCTCTGCCGACTTTATTGAACGAGCAGGCCTTAAAGTGTTTCCTCAAGCTCTACTCAATGGAGTACCATTTCCTCAAGAACAAGTTAATGTAGATGATTTCGAAGAAACAATCCTTCAAGAAGTGATGACACAAACACATTCGTTCCAAAAAAGCGTATATAGAGGAAAACTTTCAGATTCAGACGATGTCTTCGAATATATCATGAATCAACCCAAAGTTATGCCAAGGCTGAATGATAGAATTTTGAATAGAGATAGGTCTATCCACTTGGACATGACAGGTAAGTCAACTTTACTTATTTGTTTTAATTTTAATTATTTTGTCTTATCTTCACAACAAGAATGTAACAAATTTATTTGCACAAAAATCATCACAAGGACAGTAATCTTTTTTTTTTATTTTTTTCAAATATTGACTAAATGATATATACATGCTAAGATTCATAGCGATCACTATCACTATACTAAAGTGATGAGTCTCTCTCTCTCTCTCTCTCTCTCTCTCTCTCTCTCTCTCTCTCTCTCTCTTCGTTCTTTACACGATTCAATAAAATCCATTGTTTAATCGATGATATTAAACACGGCACAAGAAACAGAAGATATATTATTTAGATAAGGATTATTTTTGAAGAAAATGTTATTCCAAACCATTTTAAATTTTTAGGTACAGCAGGTAGTATAAACAACTTGGAAAGTTTATTAAAACTTAGCACCAGAGATATGACCGCTACGGCCATAGAAAATGTAAGATACTTCTCAGCAGCCAAAAAACTAGGTCAATATCATTCAATGACGTACTGGATAATTGGAGATTTAAACTGTAAGAAATCCAGAACATTACTCTTGGATGCTTTAAATCATTTGGTGAGTTTTGATTTGGGCTCTACCTTATATTTCATAAAAATCTTAAGTAATTTTAGTATATTTTGTAATTAGTATATTTAGTATATTCATCATCTTCTTCTTCTTCGTCTAGCCATTCACGTCCACATCTGAACATAAGCCTCGTCTGCCTCTGGGTCTTTTGTGTTGGTATGGTCTCCAGGTTAAAATTGATCTGTGCCATTTGTTTAGATCGCTCCTAGCTACATGTCCAGCGTCTTATCCATGTGTTTGTTTTCTTGTCCTTAAGTGATATACCTAGCATTGCTCTTTCCATCGCGTGTTGAGTGACTCTAAGTATATTCATATTCTTTTTTGTGATTGTCCATGTTTGTGCCGCATAAGTAAATATCGGAATAATGCATGCATCAAAAACTTTAGATCTAAGATGTAATTGAATTTGTTGATTTCTGAGTATAAAGTTCAGTTTACCGAATGCTGCCCAAGCTAACTTTCTTCTTCTTTTTATTTCTTCAGTTTGAATTTCCCTATTTAGATTATTTTTTGTCCTAAGTATATATATCCTTCAACTTTTTCTATAACTTTATCGTTTATTATTGTCACGGTGTCTTCGGAGTGCATGACTTTTGTTTTGTTTAAATTCATTTTCAGTCCTATTTTAGAAGATTCGGTATGTAGTTCTAAAAGCATGCAAGCTGCTTTTAGTATATTCATAAGAATGGTAATTTCCGTATATATTTTTAGCGCATATATTTGCACAGGGTCATTAGCGTATTTGGATTAATGTGACAGTTAATATAAATAATGTATATACATAAAAAATTTATTTAAAATCCTTTATAAAAGGTATATAATAAAATGCCCAAACGGGCTATCACAAAGATATTGCAAAACGTTTTGGGATTATTAAATCCATCATCAGTGCAAACGAGGTATACATGCTATGAGCCACCAAAATATATGGGTCCAAACCCTTTAAATAATACAAATTTACATTTGATTTACATTATATGTTGTTACAAAATTATGATGTTTGAGTTACCGTTGGAATTGGTAACATGGCGACGTATGACCCTACATAGGTAAAATGGTCCTGAGACGAAATGTCTTCGAGGACCTGTTGATAACAACTCAAGTTAAGTAACGCCTATAGTAAATCCGCATTGATATTGACCAACAATGTCCTTTGTAAAATTTAAGTTTTTCAAACAATACATTGCCGAAGAATTTACACGCAGATGCTAACGGAGTAATGCCTGTATAGTTCTTACACTCCAAACCAAAAGTTAAGTAACGCCTTTTTTATACATTTCCGAACAGAAATGTTTTGTGTTTTGGCTATGTTCATATGCATTGTCTCATTTTTTAGATCAATTGTTGGGTCGTTTGTTGCTTGTGAATCTTCTTTGGTTGGGTGTATCTGTGCTTTTTGCTATTGGGTAGTTAGTGGTTGGGTTTTTTGTTGTATGCTTTCTTCTTTTGATTGTTGTTGATGATTGTTTTTTTTTTTTAGTTTTTTGAATTGGTAGTTTAGTTGTGTTTTCAATTGGATCTATGTTTGGAAATGGATTATTTGTTGTTGAATTATCTGAGATAATTGGGTATTGGGCAGTTTTTTGTTAAGTGGTTGGTTTGTTTATATGTTTGGCAAGCTTGGTTATCTAATGATACTAAATACTATGTCGTTTCTTCATGTTTGATAAGAAATGAATGAAATGGAGATATGTAGGTTTCGCGTCTAGAAAAAAGCAGAAAAATGTACTTCAAGGTTGCGGGTTTGCTCTACAAAATTTCGTAAAGTATTCAATGCTGTTCTTGCCTCTTTAATGGAAACCCATGGGGTGCATGTTGTGTTATTCAAGTCTTCTATTTCATCTAAATCATTAGTATCGGTTATCAGTTTTCTGAGCTACTTAATCGATAATTTCGTCATCAGATAATGTCCCAGCCATAAGTTCATTATCTCACGTAACAAAGTCCTTAAGGGATATTCCTTATTCAGACACCATTGTGTTCCATTCTGCAGGAGGTATAATAGAAATATCTTCGGTTGCAGCTTCTTTGTGTATGACAATACAAAACCATGGTGTACATAACAATTTCTTAAAGTAGTCATAGTTACATTTCGCCAAGCTTTATCAGGCATTCTCATGCCTTGCAATACATCTATAGTAGAATTGTACCTTCATTTTGCAAAGGTAGTCATTTACATCTTGAAGACCAACCAGGTTTTTAGATTTACCGATGACTAACGGCGAGAGTTTTTCTGTACCCGACATGTTTGCTGTTACCAGAATAGTTAAACGTTTGTTTTTTTTAAGAGAACAATACATTTTTTCGAGTTTTGTAAGTTTTTGACTTATCGAGGTTCTACTTAAAGAGGTTTTACTGCATTATTATTATTTTCCTCTAGCCTTGGGTCAATAATGACATAACTGTTGCCCTGTGCCATATCCGTATTCACATCTATCCTACATGTATTTAGGACTTTTTCCTTTTATTCATTGCGACCCTCCACATCGGAATTTGGTACTCCATACTGAGATTATAATTTTTTGTATTGTATTTTTCCAGAAATCTGAGACACATGTACGAGTTAGCTTTTTGCCTAACGTTAATGGAGGAAAGGATAACACTTTAAACAAAATCGTTCTAGCCGCTTTACAGGAATTACCGTCAGAAAAAGCATTGTCTCTGGTTATATCATTGTTAAAGGATGATGCTGCTGCTAGAAAATTAGACAACGGAGAAAAACTGGATCTTCCTGTAAGAATTTAATATAATATTTTATCAAATTGCTTTTATAAGTATTTTACATTTTAGGTTGAAGTTAGTTCTAAAATGGATGCGCAAGAGCTCAACCTGAAAATGTTGAGGATTTATTGTCAAAGAGTACTACAGCTGAAAGAAAGTCAAAGGTCAGTTATAGCCAATGGAAGAGTTCTTGGACCCCTGGACGAAAATGAGGAGTTTACTTCCGAAGATTTTAGTCTTTTAGATAGATTTAGCTCTTCTACATACTGGGAGAAAATTAAGGCTGCATTGGATAAAAATTCGGACGAAGAAGATGGTAAGTTTATTGTTTTTAAATCCAAACCATTTATTTTCTTGGTTAATAAATCTTAAGTCGATTTTTATATACATAGGCGGCTATGATGCATAGAAACAAATAGTAATAAACAATTTGAGACAATACATTATATTATTCAGATCAGAAAAATTATCTAGGACAATTAATTAGCCCAGTCTGGTTAAAACAAAGGTCGAAAAATTTTTCGCAGGTATCTGAAGCTTTTAAGACATAGGTGGGGGATACTAGATGGCGATCGTTGGCAAAATAAACGTTTGAAAAAGGGGTATGTTTTTTTACTTATAAACACTTGTAATAACTTATAGTTGTAATTTATAGCTATAAAATTCATCCAATGTTTCGAAACTTACAGCCCTTCGAAACAAAGGTACCATCGAAAGATCGACATAGGAAAGTGGAGGGGATAACTGCTTCAGCTCCGTTTTTTTTTTTTTCGAGATCGTAACTTCAAATTGAAACACGTAGGAAACATTTACATTATCTCGGCTTGCATTGCAGCTAGAAGCCTCTTTTAATCTGGGGTAGCTCGTCGAAATATGAATAACTACATAGTTTTCACTGGCCGATAAATATGGAAACCTCGGAAAATTTTAGTCCATTTAAAATTCACCGTAAAAACTCACTTTTTTTCGCAGTCTGTCGCAGAATTCTCTCTCCTGTTGTCCTACAAGAATGTAGAGCGTAGAATAATTTTTAATATGTAATATAATTTAATATGGAATAATTTTTGTTATGTACAATTTATGTCCAATTTCATGTTTATTACATTCTACGCTTGCTGGATAGCCCAAATTTGACGAAATGCCCTGATGATGCTGTAGAAAGCGAAAGTACTTGGGCAAGATTTGATTATTAAATTTGTGCTCGATATTTGCCTTAATTTTTCAAAGTTCATTTATTCGAGCAATTATGGTTTAATCCTTATAATTACAATATTTAATTATTTGATAATTTTATATATATATATATATATATTATATATATAATATATTGAAGAAGTTAGATGTATCAAATAACGACTTGTATAAACAGTTTTTGGACAAACTGTTATAACATGATTGTACCTTCTCTGTTAATTTTTTGTTTATCACTTTTGTTTTAGAAGTTTCCAGCAACTCATTAATGAAATTAATATCTCTGCTCATCGCAAGACCTCAGAGTAGATCCCGGTTTGAAATTTCCTTCTCTGGCGACGAACATTCTGTTATAAAGATTCCTCCAGCTCATCCCGACCGTGTAGCGTTCGATATTGCCGCAATTGTCGATCCCGTTTCGAGAGGAGCCCAAAAGTTGGGCCCCATTTTACAGGTGCTGCAGGAAGTTTTGAACTGTAAAATTAGAGTATTTTTGAACAGCGTGGAAAAGAATAGTGACATGCCGGTTAAAAGGTAAATGTTATTTATTTACATTAAAATATATTTTTAGTTTTAGTAAATTAGTTTACTAAAACTAAAACTGGTTACAGATTAGTTTCTATAAAACTAATGAGAAAACTGGTTAAAGATTAGTTTCTATAAAAAGAAATACGGGTACCATTGTTAAGATCCTTGAAAAGTAATAAAACTAATTATTAAAAGTATTAAAACAATTATAAACAAGTATTAAAATTAAATCCATTTTATCCATGTTGAACCAAGTTAAGCGATATGTAGCTGCCTATAATAGAACTTTTAAAAAGAAAGGTGCGCCAGTTGATCCACGACGATTTCGCACGCGTAACAAAGCAAAATTAGCTTAATTATGTCTCCAAGAGGCGTCAAGAGACCAAGACATCAAAATTTAAGATGAGACTATGACATTGGGAAACAAGCCGGTACTACATGGCACCGATAAGCGAATATTGGACAATCGTTGGCAAAAAATGAAGAATTATTATGCAAGAGAGTATGATGATATGGGGAGGAGATAAAACGATTATTAAATGCTAAAATTCTTTCATGGTCGAACATTGTTTTCTTCCTGTTTTCCATACATTTAAGAAAAAATATATACCATTCCTTGATTTTTAATTGTATATTCTAGAAACATTATTGATTAAAATAAATATAACAATTAAACAATATGCTTTAAGACAGTAATACAAATAGTAAGTGCTTACATATCAGACACTCGTTTTAATATGTTTTTTAAGTAAATATCATCCTAAATAATAAATTCCATTTTAGTTTTTATCGATTTGTACTGGAACCAGAAATACAATTTGGAGAAGATGGTAAGCAGTTACCAGGTCCAATAGCAAGGTTTAACAACATGCCCACGTCTCCATTGTTAACTCAAAACTACCATGTACCTGAAAATTGGTTGGTAGAAGTAGTAAGATCAGTATATGATTTGGATAACATACGATTAGAAAATGTTGAAAGTAATGTCCACAGGTATGTGTATTTTAAATATTAATAAAAAGAACGTAGCCTCATGCGAAAACAAACATTGGTTTGAATTTCTCAATATTCATTCCATTATTTTTATTATATAATTGCCATGTGTTATCTATTCTTATCCTATCCTTATCTATCTATTTATAAAAAATTGGATTTTGCGAATCTGCCAGCAGTGTTGAATATAATCATTAATCGGATTATTTTAATACAATCTAAATAATATGATAAATATTGATAATTAACTGTTATCTTCTGCTTTTCTTTCTTTTTTTTTGTTGTCTTTTCTTGAAAGAAAGTTAATACGTATGTTCCTCTTGGTACATTGAGCAAGTCAGCAAGTCTCTTTTTCCTTCACGTTTTTATAATTTGTCTTTTTCTTGAACGAAACGTCTTCTAGTCTTGTTTAGTAGATTACTCTTGTTGTGGGAAACAAAAATATTTAATTTGAAGTAAATAAGTTTTCTTTTCTTTTTTTATATGTTTATGTCGTTTTTCTGAAGGAAAAGTCCTACAAGCTTAGTCCTTCCCAGTACAACTTAGTACATAGGACATACACTCCTCTTGGTGATAAACTAGAAAAGACCATATATCTGTCGACATCAATATCGGACTCTGGACATTGTTGATTTTTCCTGTTTTCTTATATGCTGAATGAAATGAAGATGCGTTCGAAATTTTCTGTTGGAGACTTAAGGCTTAGAATCCTATAGCTTTCCAGAACAATTTGTCGACACCGAAATGATCTTACATTAAGGCCGATCCTCACGATTCTGGGCATAGCTAAATTTGGAGGGATCCCTCCAGATACTGACAGAGAATGTAGCGTAGAATCTTTAAGTAATTTTAAACTGTTTGTCCTCGTTTTAGTGTAGTGTTTTGTACAATTTTATGTTATTTTTAATGTTTCCACATTCTACGCTTGCCGGATAGTTCACATTTTGACGAATTGCCCCTGAAGATGCTATTTTAAGCGAAAGTACTTGGGCTAGATTTAATTAACTTGTGCTCGATAATAGCCTTATTTTCAAAGTTCATTTATTCGAGCATTCAACCTCATTTCATTTATTATATTATTGTTACTCCCGGTATATTGTAAAATTTATCATAAGAAAAAGAAAGAACGGTAAAAAACGCTGATGTTTTTACCATTTTTTGCAAAAAAATTAAAAACATGCTAATTGTGCATCATTTTATTTCGAATTTAGTTAGGTTGGATTACGTTGTGCTGAACGTTTAAAGGGATTTTTCAAGTTTATTAAGTATTTTTTCTTTGAAATGAAGCACCAGTAGCAAGAAAATCGAAATTTGTCAGAAAGTGACTGTTTTAAAATCGTTACTCTTCGCGAAGAAGGATACACTCAAGTAGAACTCGCTGAACATTTTAACGTCACCCAGTCAACCATTTCAAGAGTGTGAACACGTTTTTCTGTTACTGGAATTAACTCCAGAAGACACTGCCAAGGCCGTAGAAAGGTTACAAATTCTAAACAAGACTGGTTTTTGACACTTCGTACACTGAGACAAAGGGTTTGTTACCAGTACTTCTCTACAAAATGAATTTTTGGATCGTTATAACTTTAGAATCAGCCAAAATACGATTAGAAGAAGACTTGCTGAAAACGACCTACACACTGGAAGGGCACCAATTGACCGATTATTGACCAGAGACCATAGAAGGCAAAGATTGCATTTTGCTCGTGAACATGTTGATTGGAATAATGACGATTGGGGAAGAATATTGTTCACCGATGAATACAGGTACTGTCTTTTTTCTGATGACAGGAGAAACCGAGTGTATAGAAGGCCTGGGGAACGCTACGCACAGTGTAACACCGTAGGGACTGTACAGTATGGCGGCGGCTCGGTAATGGTGTGGGGTGGGATTAATTTAGAGGCTCGTACGGAATTAGTTAGAATAGATCGCGGTCGGTTTATATCGCAGAGATATATAACAGACGTTTTAAAAGAGCATGTCGTGCCATTTGCACCATTTATTGGGGATAATTTAATGCTTATGCAAGATAATGCCAGGCCACACACGGCAAGAATTGTGCAGCAGTATCGTCGGGAGGTTGGAATTCCTGCCATGGATTGGCCTGCGAGAACTCCTGACCTCAACCCATTAGAACGTGTTTGAGATATCATAGGCAGACGACTACGACAACTACCTAATGCACCAAATCCATTAGATGAACTGTTTTTGAGTTTGGTTGAAATTTGGGATCAAATTGATCAAGAAGAAATCAGAACGATTATTCTCAGCATGAGAAATCGTTGTCAAGCAGTAATAAATGCCAAAGGAGGCAATACTCGATACTAGTACACGGTACTAGTATTTTCTTTAACTTTAAAAATTTTTAATTTCGTCATCAATTTATGATGTTAGTTTATTTAGATCAGTTGTTTATTTAGATGTTTAGATTTATGATGTTACATTGTTAATTTCAATACATTGTGTGTAAAAAAGAAAAGTTTTTTATTTAAGATGTTCTAAAACAACCATAATGCAGAAAAGAACAAACAAAATTTTTTTCGTTATAACTCAAAATGAGAATTTTAAAATTATGCGTTAATTTTGGAGCGCAGTGTATAATCGATGAAATTAAGATTGTGAATTTATTTAGGCAAATTATGTGAAATATTTGAAACTTAGTTAGATACTAGATAACTATCTTAGTAAAAAAATACGATGAACGGTATTTTGACGAATTGGGGTATTGTAATCTTCTTCTTCATGTGCCATCTCCGCGGCGGAGGTCGGCAATCATCATAGCTATTCGGACTTTTAAGACGGCTGTTCTGAAAAGTTCATTTAATGTACATCCGTACCACTCTCTCAGATTGCGCAGCTTATGACATTCTACGCCTCCCTATGCTTCTCTTTCCTTGAATCTTTTCCTGCATAATTAGTTGGAGCAAGGTGTATTTCTCTCCACGTGTAATATGTCCGAGATATTCTACTTTTCTTGTTTTATTGGTATTGTAATAAATACTACTAGAATGCCATTTTCATGAAATTCTCTTTCAAATGATAACAAATATATCTTACTAGATATACACATGTTTTTAATAGTTACTTCGATAAGTGTCAGTTTCAAATTTAAGAAATTGGTATTTTTTGTTTAAACATATCATAAATTTATTAGGAACTATTATTATACTTAAATTTTTTTGGTGTAAATTTTTTTTTTTATGTACACAACTCCAGATATGGAGAAGTTTCGTCGCGCATATTTAACAAACACCTGATAGGCAGGTAGGCGAAGCGTTCTCTTCAATCAAAGGGAAAAGTCCGTTTTGTGCACTTCATAAAATTTGTTCTTTCTCGCTCCTTTTATCTTCCTCTCTCTGTCTCTGTCTATCTTTTCCTCTCTCTCTCTCCCTCGTTCTTTCTCTCTCTCTCTCCTCTCTCTCTCTCTCTCTCTCTCTCTCTCTCGCACGCGCTCTTTCTATCCGTCTTGGTAAAGCGGGAAAATTTAAATCGATGTTCTCTCCACACGTTTATAGGTTCGTATTTTAAGTGTTTTCTTTCGATTATCTCAGGAACTACTCTTTAGCAAATTTGGACGATACTATCAAATTTATTTGTTAATTGGAGCATTGATTGGACATTGAGTTTGGCACTTATACGAATCTATGAAAATATAATATAATAAAACAAGTTTCTCACATATTTTCCGCTTAATGTACTTATTTAGATCTTCATTTTGTTTAACACGTTCCTATGATTTATTGTTTAATGACGTGAAAATTTGTCTGTCTTTCTCCCCAGTGTTCCTTAAATATTAATGATTGTTTTACGGCTAGGGAGACACTTGGTTTCTAGATAACAATGGATGGAAATCAGCGAGCCATGAGGCACCCTCTCATTTCACCCGCGAATAAATACTGAGAGGAGTCTTCTGTTGATTTGATAAAAGTGACAATTTCGAAGATGCTATCAGCAGTAAAAATTCAAAACGACTCGTCAACCCCATTTCAAATACATAGGGGGTTAAGGCAGGGAGATGCGCTGGCGTGTCAAGCTTTTTAATGTCGCCTTAGAAAAAGTTGTACGAGACGCTAATTTAGATAGCAGGGGAACAATATTTAATAGATCAGTCCAAATTCTAGCATATGCAGACGACGTGGACATTATAACAAGAACTAGGGCGAGAACTGCGGAAATCCTAACCGAGCTAGTAGCAGCAGCAGAACGAATGGGGTTACATATAAATCAAAATAAAACCAAATTCATGGCTACTAACACAAACACAAGAGCTGGAAATGTTGACACAAATTTAATCATCAATGACCAAAACTTCGAAGCAGTCAATGAGTTCATCTATCTAGGGACATCGGTTAACCCCAATAATAATACATCTGAGGAAATAAAAAGGCGAATAATAATTGCAAACAGGTGTTATTATGGTCTATCAAAGTACTTAGCTAACAAACGTCTGTCTCAAAAAACTCGTATAAGGCTGTATAGAACACTGATAGTCCCCGTCTCTCACATAGGATCAGAGGCATGGACGCTAACGAAAACAGATGAATCCGCTCTATCCATTTTTGAAAGAAAGGTGCTACGCAAGATATTTGGAGCGGTCTGTGAGAACGGAATATGGAGGCGTAGATATAACTTCGAACTGCAGAATATCTACAAGCATATGTTTGGTGGTAAAGATATTACCACTATAATTAAGCAAAACCGCCTGCAGTGGGCAGGACATGTAGCCCGGGCCCCTGAATCGAACATGATAAAAAAGATTCTAACAGCGCAACCTGTGGGAATGAGACGACGGGGTAGACCAAAGCTGAGGTGGATGGATGGGAATGTGGACAACACAAGATGCGGAGAAGATCGGATTCGGCAACTGGAAAATTCAAGCAAGGGACAGAACAGAATGGCGTAGAAAGCTTGAGAAGGTCGAGGCCCTCTAAGGGCTGTAGCACCAAGATGATGATGGTGATGAGTCTTCTGTTGATGCTTTTTATTTTTTCTTGCTAACCCAAACATGGTTTTAGTAATATTCCTATTCCTTCTGCTTTTTATGTTACTAAGTAAATCTTGTTGTTTTTTCGTCAATGTATTTTATAATTTGTCACTTTTTGATTTGCTTTCATTAGATACCGTGAATTAAATAAATACAGTGTTGGTATTTATTCAATAATGCGGTAGTTTTTAAATGATATTAATAGTAAAAGTTATTAACAGTCCCTTCTTTATCTTTAGTTATTGAAACAATATCTTTGTTGTTTATTGCAACTATAAAAATATGTTGGTTATTGTTTTTAGTGAATACGAACTTGAATATTTACTGCTAGAAGGTCACTGTTTCGAACAGAGCTCCGGCAGTCCTCCAAGAGGCCTGCAAATAACCCTGGGTACCGAAAGTCAACCTGTGATTGTAGATACTATTGTTATGGCTAATTTGGGCTACTTCCAACTTAAAGCTAATCCTGGTGCTTGGCTTCTAAGATTACGGCAAGGTAGAAGTGCTGACATATACGACATTGTTAGGTAAGTTGTTCTTAATTAAAGATACTTAACCTTAAAAACGAATACAATTTTGCATGTACATATGTTTATCTGTTGTATTATTTTGTTGATATACATATTTTGGTTTTAGTCACGAAGGAAGCGATACTCCAGAGAATTCGACTGACATTAAAGTACTGATCAGTTCTTTAAGATCGCATATCGTTAAATTAAGAGTACAAAAGAAGCCAGATAAAGCAAATGTAGATTTATTATCAGACGATGATAATAATAACGGTATCTGGAGTTCCATAGCTAGGTGAGTTTTTGCTTGTCATGTGTTTTGGTATCTTAATATTATTATTTATGGATATATGTTTAGTACTCTGTATGGATTTTAGTTTTTCTTGATCTAATATAATGTTTTGCTGATAACTGCGTAATAAATTCATGAATACTAAGTTGGAATACTAAGTGGTTTAGTTAATCGTTATACTGTGAAAATTAAAAATGATTTTCCAATAAATACCGACATAGAAATCGCAAACAGATATTACCAAAATCATATAATGTGTAATAACTATTAGCAAAAAATGTATTCTTTCCAAATATCACTACTTTTATTTACCACATTTTTAATACCACGATTAAAAAAAATCTTGGGTAGAAGTTCCCAAAAAGTGAATAGAGCAAGACAATACTTTATATTTCCATCTGGAAACCACCTCTGCAATATCCGTAAATCCTTAAATTGCTGTGCGTGAATCCCTTCCCCTGAAGTTGATTTTCAAGAATATATTACCATAACCAACAGCCTATTGTACTCCTGATTATACTGTTTATAATTGTAGTAAAATATTTGAGATTTGTTCAAAATCAAATATTGATACATTAGAACCGACGTGAAGAAAATTAGTAGGTCGATAGTAATCAACAATTCTAAACTTTAAAAAATGCTATGAGACGTCACATTTGAACAGCTTTTATGAATAAGTTGAGACATCTGCAAGAAACTTGACACGTCTTTATCAAACATTAGTACTATTATCAGAGAATAAAACATAGAGTCACGCCATCTGTTATCGAGTGACAAAATTCATTGAATAATCTTACATTTATTTTTACCACTGATTGCGAAACTCAAAATAAAGTGCATGTGTTTTATAGAAGACTTAATTTAAATAAACAACTCCAATTTAATTTTAGCTCCTTCAAAGGCAGCGAAGACGAGAGTGACGAAAAACTAAATATATTCTCTTTGGCTTCTGGTCACTTATATGAAAGGTTCCTGAGAATTATGATGCTGTCAGTATTAAAACACACAAAGAGACCTGTTAAATTTTGGTTCTTAAAGAATTATCTCTCTCCACAAGTTAAGGTAAGATAAATTTCATGTAACTAGGAATTAGTGAAGTGAGCATGAAGCCATGCATGCATGTGCTGTAGAAACTGTAAGTCTCGATTATGCTATGAATATTCTGTAATAAGAACTTAACTTTCATTATCCAACTTTACAACAGTAGTAAATTATTACACATGATAGGATTTTTATTTTACCTATACGGCTATATAGTATAGCATTTTTCATATTAAAAAGCTTAAGCAAAACATCAGAATAGTTACTAAGTGAGGAATTTTTAAAATGTCAACTATTTGTCAAACTATTATATTTACAGTAAATACACGTAGTTTTAAAACTACTGCAACACATTAACATACATAAGAAAACGTTTTAATACAAATTTATATATTCTAAATTTTAAACTTACCTCTTTTAGGGCTTTAATAGTAAAAACGTCCCGCTATTATCTTGTTCAAAATAATCTATCTTATATGAAATAAGTGTTATAAGGTTAAAGCGATGTTATAAGTGTTACCTTAAAAAGACACTTATAACATCGTTTCCATGATTGTGTGGTTCTCATATCGTACTTTTTAGATGAACTGATGATGCTTTCAGAATATGAAAGCGAAACGTCTTCAAAATAGATAAAGTAGCCTATCAACTTTGTCTTTTATTTCTCCACCTTGAGACCGATATAAGAACCCACTACTCGTCTGAGTGATCCATATATATATATATATATATATATATATATATAATATATATATATATATCTTTATATATATCTTTTCTTTCATTCGAATGTGCTTTTAATTGTATTTTTTCTCCCTCCAGTCAAAGTTTGCTCCCTGTTGTGAATGAATTTAAGATCGCTACATCTAATATTACCAATATGCATCTGATACAATGACGTATCGAACAGCTCTACAGATTTATTGCATGTAACGAAAGTCTAAACTACAACTTATTTCAATATGAATACTACTATAAGCAGAATATATATGCATATGATCGAATTAATTGGTGCTAATATTTGTAGGATTTCCTTCCATATATGGCGAAAGAATATGGATTTGAATATGAATTAGTTCAATACAAATGGCCTAGGTGGTTACACCAACAAACTGAAAAACAGAGAATTATTTGGGGTTACAAAATATTGTTCCTGGATGTATTGTTTCCTCTAGACGTAAAGAAAATTATTTTTGTCGATGCAGATCAGGTAAATATGTTTAGTTTATGTTTTTTTATTTGCGTAACATTATTGGTTTATTATAAAGATGGACGATTTGACTACCTTCGTTTTATTTTACTTTTTATTGTAAATGATTTTAGGTTGTTAGAGCAGATCTTAAAGAACTCCAGGAATTAGATTTAGGTGGAGCGCCATATGGCTACACGCCGTTCTGTGAATCTAGAAAAGAAATGGATGGATTCAGGTTTTGGAAGCATGGTTATTGGAGAAACCATCTACAAGGTAGAAGGTAATAAAACGTTGAAATTCTCACTAAATAAATCATCAGATTCGAACATTTTTATATCTTAGATAGACAGAACGCATAAAAGGAATATTTAATTTTTAATCCTATATAATGTCACTAGAATATTTTGTTAACTGTGTTGGATTATTGTCACCTAAAGAATTCTAGATATAGTTATGCATAGCTCGGATAATGGATTTATGTGTAAATCTCATTCGTAAAGTTTTATTTTTAGTATTAACAAACATATACATTTCAGGTACCATATATCTGCCTTATATGTAGTAGATTTAAAGAGGTTCCGTAGGATAGCAGCTGGTGATAGGCTTAGAGGTCAATACCAAGCTTTAAGTCAAGATCCTAACAGTCTGTCAAATTTGGATCAGGATTTGCCCAATAATATGATCCATCAGGTAGCGATTAAGTCACTGCCTCAAGAATGGTTGTGGTGTGAAACTTGGTGTGATGATGCGTCCAAAGAGAAAGCGAAAACTATAGATTTGGTAAGTATAGTACACAGTTTTGATCAAGATCATGTGAAAACACTATACCTACTTGGTTTTTTTTAGTTCGTGTTTGCAAAACTTGTATTTTGGCAAACTTATTGTTTTCCAGGTTTGAAAATTATTATAACCTCAGCTATTGTTAGTATATGCTTAGTTTAAATATGGTCTTACGTAGTTGTTTTATAATTTTTCCTGTAATTAAATTAAACCCAGAAGTTTGTTTTGGATTGATGTATTCTTTGATTTAACCTTATTCCTGGATAATGTTTTCCCATTCAAGTATATTTTCACCCTCATTTAGCTGTAATGTTTGTTCTAGATGTTCAACAAATGTATTGGGTTTCTATAAGTTGCTTTATGCCCAGCTTCCATCTAAATTTCTTATTGGAGAATTATGCAAGGTTAGTCTTTTTAATCTCTTAGTGGCTCTTCTCCTTCTTTGGGTGCCGTCTTCTTAGCGAAGGTTGGCGATGACCTCTGCAAAGTCTTCCCTATTTTGGGCTTTCCTTATTAAACTTTGAAAGTCTAATCCTGTCCAATATTTGATGTTGCGCAGCCAGGTCATTTGTCGTCTACCCGGGCCACGTCTGCCTTCTATTTTCCTTTCTGTAATAAGCTGATGAAGTTATACCTGCCGTGTCTAAATATGTATCCAAGATAAGACGTTTTACGCCTCTTGACAATTTCTGTGAGTTCACGTTCTCTATTCATACGCCTTAAAACTTCTTCATTTCTTACCGGTCTTACAGAGGCTCTGCGAGACAATAATCAGTTTTGCTCTCGTTTTTTAGTTCTCTGAGGTAGTAACCAATTGATTCATTTTTATTTTTTTATTTCTTTTAAAGTTACTGTTGCATTGTTTAGTCATTTTTATCAGATGGTACTCTAGAGCACTGCCAGATCCTTTTGAGTTTTCTTTTTTTGCAATAAGTAGTCTAATTTCTTTAGGGTAATGGTTACTTTTAGTTATAGTTATTAATTCAAGTGAAATTGATTTGTTTCTTCCAATTAAAGCTGAAAACTTCTCCAATCTGTTATCTTATTTGTTAATTTAGGGGGTGGCTGAATAACTGTATCGCTCTATGTGAGTAGTACAGGACAGTGGTTGTAGTTCATTTCCCATGGTTCCTTGATATGCATATAATTAGAAATATTTCTAGTGATGAAGTATAACTATCGTTTAGGTAACCATTTATAATAGTTTAGGATCTCTTTCATTGCTTTATTGTTATTCTCGGTTTCTTGTATTTCTTCTTCTTATGGTACCTTGGACACTAACATGGCTATTCTGACTTTGTTGACTGCTGCCCTGAAAAGTCCGGTAGTGGTTAAGTTAAACCATTTTCGCAGGTTATGCAGCCAGGATATTCTTCTTCGTCCTGGACCTCTTTTCCCATGCACTTTACCTTGAAGTATGGTCCGAAGTAGGTCATATCGTTGTTCATTGCACATTATATGGCCCAGGTTCAGTCCGCGTTTTGTGGTACGCTAGTTCGCGCTCTTTGCCATCTATGTAGTACTTCTTCGTGGTAATCTGTTATCAGAAACCTCAACATGCGTCTATAGCCCATCTCAAATGCTTCGAGCTCTTCAGTATGATCCTATTTTGTTATAACATGTATTTGTTTTTTTTATGTTAAAATCAAGCCCAAACCTGCTACTTACTTCTGCCACCCTGCAGACAAGGGTCTGCAGACCTTCAAGATTGTCTGCAAAAATGACAGTATCATCAGCGTATCTGACAGTATCATCACCATGAACCTACTACTTCACCATAACTACTCTTACCGATTTTGGCGTTAAAGTCACCCGTAACTAGCGTTACTTCATTGGTTTTTAACTTACTTAGGACTTTTCCTTAAATCGTAATAAAATGCCTCTATTATTTCGTCTGATTTGTCTGCTGTGGGTGCGTATATTTGGATTATGTTGGTTTTTGCTGGGAATAAATCCAATTGAATGAGCATGATTCTCTCGGATACTGGAACAAAAGTCGTAACGTATTTGTTTATTTAAAATTATTCGGACACCATGCTTATGTTAACCTTCTGTATTTCCTTGTATTATTTGACATATATACGTATATAAGTATATACACCGTTCTTGTCACAATATCCACGGTGGTATAAGATATTGGTATAATATATTTTCTTAATTTCCTGGTATCTTTTTTGTAGTGTAATAATCCAATGACAAAGGAAGCCAAATTAACAGCTGCGGTAAGAATCCTTCCCGAATGGAAGGGATACGATGATGAAATTAGAAATTTACAAAAGAAAATAGACTCAGGGTTGTTAGATGCAGATCCAGCAGAAAATATTGATGTTAGTGAAACAGGTATTATAAAAAAAACATTATGAATTTTCTTTAGTAATATTTTTTATTTTTAATTACAGAAAGGACTGATACTCATCAAGAATTATGATAAATAGAATAAATTATGTACATATTTTTTAAATTGATTTGTAAGTGATATTTACATTTCTTAAGTTGTATATGGGTTAAGTTAATAAATAATTAAGTCTATGGGTTGTTTTATTGCTTTGCATATCATCTTTCTTTTTCAGAATATTTGCTGCATAACGCATGATTTTAATATTTTTTTGAAACTATTTTCGCTATTTTTATATTCGCTACTCTATTTTATGGGAATGAACGACAATTATGTGCCATGTTTTTAAAACTGCTTAGTCACTGTAACCGTTACATACAATGTAGTTAATGGAATTAAATTTAAATGCTAAGGGAGCAGTCTTAACGCATTTTATCCAAAACTATGTATAACCTCTTCTATTATAAATATTTTTGGCTAACTATAGTTATTATGGCTTGAAGGAATGTTCAGGAAACGAAATATTTCCATTTTTTAACTGTTCTTTTATTTTATGTATTTTCCAGAAATTTCTTCGTTGAGTATTTAAAATTTCCGAGTGGTTTTTTTTTTTATTTTTTTCGAGTTGGAAAAATTTCCGAGTGGTATGTGACATCTACTCCGAAAATATAATTGGTGATTATCAAAATGGATTCAGACCAAATAGAGCCACTATAGATAATATGTATATAGACTTTAAACAAGTTTTTGATAGTGTGAAAAGAGACAGAATGCTGGAAGACCTTTGTAATCTAGGTATACCTAAGAAATACATCATCCTCATAAAAATGACGGTGCAGGGTTCAAAAGCCGCAGTCAGAGTAGATGGAGAACTGACTCCCCTGTTTAACATTCAACATGGGAGTAACACAGGGAGATGCCCTATCAACCATGCTATTCAACCTAATTCTTGAGGCAGTCATCAGAAAAACCACTATAACCGGCCATATAAACACCAAATCAGTACAAATTACTGCATATGCAGACGATGTAGCCATCATTAGTAGGAATAAACCACGACTAATGGAAGTGTTCAAACAAATTGATCCTGAAGCAAGAAAAAGAGGTCTCAAAATAAACGAAGCAAAAACGAAGTATATGACAGTCAAAAGAATAACTGACAATGAAAATATAATCACAATAGACAACTATACTATCGAACGAGTGGATGTCTTTACATATCTTGGCACAGAAATCAATTAGAAGAACTCTGTAAGTAGCGAAATTAATGCACGTATTTCCAGCGGGAATCGTACATACTATGCTAATAAAAGATTGATGACATCGAAATTATTGGACAAAAGAACCAAAATGACTATCTACAGAACACTGATTAGACCCGTAGTAACCTATGGATGTGAAACTTGGGTAATGACGAAAAAAAATGAAGCCCAACTCAGGACATTCGAGAGAAAAATACTGAGGAAAGTATATGGCCCGGTACAAGAGGAAAATGGCACATGGAGAATCATGAGAAACGACGAGATTAATGAGTTAAATGAAGGTTATGACATTGTAAGATTTGTGAAAAGACAAATACTGTCATGGCTGGGACATGTGCAGAGACAAAACGATGCAAAAACAACAAAGAAAATATTACAATGGAAGCCCATAGGAAGGCGAAAAAAAGGAAGGCCCAGAACGAGATGGTTGGATGACGTGGAAGACGACCTGAAAACAATGAACATAAGACAATGGTGAAGAAGGGCACAAGAGAGATCTGAATGGAAGGACATAGCCAGGCAGGCAAAGACCCATCCAGGGTTATGATGTTAAAAGAAGAAGATGTGACATCATCAAAAACTATAACAGATGGTTCATGTAAATTTTGGAAGCAGTTTTGCTTTTAACCATTTTACAAACATCTCCGTATTCATATTATCGCCATAATCTGCCGATTTTGATTTTGACGAAAACACAAGATCCGCTCCATCAATAAAACCATGTTTTCCACCAGCAAATAGAATATATCTCTTTCCCTCAGTATCGGTGTGTTTTATTGATTTTATTCTTAGAATCATTTAGTAATTATTCATTTTAAGTTCGATTTTATACACATGTAAGATCTCAAGAAAGCGTTCAATGTGTTCAGCTTAGCGAAATGTTATCGGTTAGATATTATAAATAGTATTTTTCTACGTAAGACGAATGTCCAAATGATATTGGGCCGAATGAGGAGACGTAAATACCACTTACTTCCGTTGATCATTCAGTGCAAAATTGAAGGAAATGCTGGGTAAGAAGACAACAACTTTCCTGGCTGAGTAAAATTAGACAATGGACAGGTTCAATAATCGAGTAATTGTTTCATGTAACTATCAAACGAGAAGCATTCCAGCTGACTGTAAACATGACGATAGCCGACGCTTTAAAACAAAAATGACTCACAAAGAATAAGAAGAACGGTATATACGAAGTACTACATGCTCTTATCTTTGGAAAGGCTGAAATTTCAACGGGTGATATATTTCTGGAATCGAGTTTATTATTGTAAATGTTTTGGAAAAAGCAGTTTTAGACCAAAAATTGCTGTGCAACAAAATGTCATTAGAACGATTTAGAGACATTGGGAATATTAGGGCAGAATGATCATATCATACATATGCATATCTCTCAGAATCTTTCCATATTTGCCGGGGACTAGTTTCTCCCATTGATTAACCAAGGGTTACATGAAGCAGAACAACTATCCCAGGACAGAAAAGGATGGAGGAAAATCGTAAAAAAACTGTGAAGGCCTGATGGTGTCACCACATCCCAAAAGGGATTAGGACTGAGGAGGAGGAGGAGTTTCTCCCATATTTTCATATAACTAAGTAGTTTTATGGTTCTGCAGTTTATTCATTGTTAAGCAACAAATATACTGTTTTTCCATTCGTCTAGCATTTGTTCCGCTTTTATTATTCTAATAAACAAACATGTAACATACTTGTTTCTGTCTCTCTGTTTGAACACATCTGATTTTCGGATCCAACTGCTTTTTTTGTATTTTATAAAGCACTTGGCCAACTTTCTTATTTGTTATTTTGGTGATAATTTAACTGTCTTCGTTAAATCGACTGATTTTGTTTCATAATCCTTTGGTTTTGGGCACATCTAACTGTATTTCTAGTACAGTATTAGTTAGTACAAAAAAAATACAGTACCAAAACTTAATGCAAGGAAAGCACATGGTAAGCTATGCAAAACCAAGCAAACATTTCTTCAGATTGTCTCGGAAAGTAAAAATATTAAAAGTATTATGAGTTGTAAAAATCGCTTACTTACCGGTAACTAAAATTATTAAGTTGTAATGTTTTGTAACATGATATTAAAATTTAAAATAAAACGTTATAATCTTTTTTCTTCTATATTTGAAAGAATATATCTATTATTTTACAATTTTTGAACTAATACAAATAACACACATCAAAAATGTCTAAGGAACAACATTATACAACAAATTATAAAGAAATAGTGCTTCAAATTTTAAAGATAGTCTGTATTCAATTTAAAATTTTACTAAAACACTCATGGAGCGTCGGCATTCAGCACATGTTCAAATGGTAAATTCGGTGAATATGATTTAGGCTGGTCTTTCACAAAGTGCAGGTCCTGATTTGCATTACATGTAGGATAAAGCAAGGCCACATACTGCAGCAATAGTAAGGGATTGGTTTTATAATGAGGATATTACACTTTTACTGTGGCCGGCACATTCGCCAAATTTCATCAACTGACCACAAGCATAATTTGATTGACAGTTGGTAATCTTAAGGTTAAATATTTCTGAAATAGCGGCAAGTTTATCGCCATTCTCGATTCGTTCATTTCTTGTGACACTATTATCAAAGCGCAACGCAGCGCATAAAAAACAAAAACGTTTTAGTGTCATAGTGGCGCAAAAAATGTCGCGACCTGTTAGATCCATAACCATAACCCATAAAGAACTTACATCTTCATTATTTGATTTAAAAGTAACCAGAGAGTAAAAGAAGACTAATGAAGGCTTTTATTTCAGCTTTTTCTACATGGTTTGTAAATTGACAGTTTAGGGCCCTATCAGCGTAAGACATTGCAGCTAGAATTTTCCTCTGGGAGGGAGGGGGGGGGGTAGGTTGGGCACCGAATTTTTTTTATGCTACCCCTACCATTTTAAGTAAATTTGTGAATAACAGTGTCGGAATAGGGTCATAGAGGGAAATTTAACCCCCCCCCCTGGGTGCGCCACTGAGTCAAATCAGTATCAGTAATTCTTTCATTTTTATAATATCTAGCATATGGTCGTCAAATATCAAATTCCATGATTGTACTGGTTCGGCTGGTTTATTTCTGTATGATTCACCTATCACCGCAGGTAGGTATGCGTGTTCTAATTGTGTTTCCTTTTCGAGTTTTTCCGCAGACTGGAGGTATTTTTAACCACGTGATCGCCCACACGCTAACTGGCCAGTGCCGTGTGCCATTTGCAATATCGGTTAAATTATAAAACTAAATTTGGTCGGGTCAATATTGACCCATCATACCAATTGAGGGTTAAACATTTTATGTTAGTTATTGACGCCTTTGGGTGGTAATTGCCATTAAGGGTATTAAATATTGGACTTTTTTAATTTTAGTTAACTTGTAATTGGAAGAAGTAGTTAAGTTTCGAATTACATGTGGAGTTCTTATAGCGTTTATTTGAAAAACAACACTTGTCCAAAAATTAAAATTTTGGCAAATCAAGAAAAACTGCCTAGCTTCAATTTATTTCAAATCTTACCTTTACTAAGATATTCATTGGAAGGAATGTGGCTATCAAAATAATTGTATAAGTTGATTTCATAATTTTATTGATATTTTAAACGAAAATCGGTAGAAACTTAGCAAAATATATTGGAAAATGAACATAATATATAATATCCTCGTAGAAATAACAAAAAATTCTATGATGTCTATTCGCTACCACTGCTATTATCATCACTAAATAGTTCTACGACTGGAGTATTGTCCTCGGTTTCCCCTGATTCTGGTTCTAGATTAAGATAAAATTCTTTATTAAGAGGGTTCTTGAGATATTTAGTTAACTCCATTAGATCGCGAAACTTTGGTTGACTTATTTTCTTTTTCGCGTTATTTGGTATCAAAGTTATTTGTTTTGGTGTTGTTTTTTCAGTAATGGTGTGGAAGGTCCATGGGCCGTGATAAGTTTGACGTAATAAAACTTGTCCAGGATACTTCTTAGATATTCGGTACATTCTTGCTGGTTTCAATGAAATTTTTGGTTTTGGATTCTTTAAAAATAAATCCTTAAAACTTTCGTCCATAAGAAACCAGTCAGTCTCTTTCCCAGCATTTACCACTTTAAATGGAGAAGGTTTAGACCTTGACTGCCGAATAAGATCATCCCATTCTTCTGGAACATCAACAACTATTTTTTTGGCACGAGAAATGAGACTAAAGTCACTATCGCACGGTAGGTATGAATGTCCTCGTATTGGGTATACGTGTGTTATCTCTGATGCTAATTTCAATACGTGCACCAGGATATATGAAAAGCGGATAAAGATATAGTTTTTGTTCTGATCCGGGCAACCATCAGAGAAAAACCATATTTCATCCATTTTAGCGAGTATATGATCTTTTAGATAATGAAATATCATGGAAGTTACTTCATTTTGACCACGTTTAGCCATTCCTTCGTGATAGGTATACATATGGACATCATTGCCTCCAATGTCGTGTACACCAAATACATAGTACCAAAGTTGTCTGCTATAGAAAACCTTATTTGTAGTCAAATTGGGTAGTGGAAGATTTTGCATAAAGTCAAAGGCTATTGCAGATACATTATTACGATGCTGACATTTATGTTTAATTTTTCGTTTTATATCATAAAATACCTTTGCTTTAGCGTGATGAAGGTTTCTCACTTGAAGCAGTTCCTTTCTTCTTGATTCATCGATATTTGGTAGTTTGAGTTGGGTTTCAGTTTCATCACATAATGTATAAGTGTCACATCTGGGATAGGAAAAAGATATGTTAAATCGAGTTTGAAATATGTTATAATAAACAAAGTAAGAAACCTTGGACTGTGGGTGAAGTTCTTTAAATGCTCTGTACATATTTTTTACATTTAGCTCTGATGGTAGATAAGTTTTCTTTTTGTCCAGTCTTCGTGTATAATGACTTTGGCGGTCTTTGAATGAAGAAGTGTGAGCTATTATGTTTTCTATATCAGCAGGGTGTGTCTTCTTAGGCCTATTTGTATGCTTGTCCCGGGCATCTTTTGGAGAACATCCACTCATTGCTAAGCTATTTCTAATTCGACGGATCTGCATTTCAGTAACACCGAAAATACTTTGGCACAAATACTTACGTCTTTTCCTGGTAGTCGAATTTTATACATAAAAGAAGCTGCATGTGGTGGACCCTGTTGATGTCGAACTTTGTTTGTGTCTTCATTTCTACTATCACTAGTAGTACTGTGGTTAGGTAAAACGGCTTGTGGAATACGACTGCGTCGTCTCTGGACAGGAGTAACACTAATGAGGCTTGATAAATATGAATCCTGTTCATCTTTGGTGTTCATGTTATTAAACATATTCAGTAAGTCAGAACGTTGTTCCTGTGTTATTACATAGAAGCATCGGTAACGTTTACACCTACAACCAAGATTGAAGTTATAAGCATTGAGAAAACAACTTGTTATTATCAAAAAACTTACATACATTTCCTGTTGTTCGTGCTAAAACATCCTTATCACCTTTATGCGTTTTGTGAGCAACTCCATGTATTTTAGCTTGCTTTATGGTTTCCCTTCGATAAACTTTTCTTTTCCGTTTTCGTGGTTGATCTGTAGTGCGAATTTCACAAATACTATCATCTATAATATTAGATATATTGTGTTGAACAGTAGTTTCTGCCATGCTGCTAATAAGAAACAAACATCACCTGTTCAAAGAAAGCACACAACTGATAAATTATTTATAGACAAGATCATTCACGCTTAGCTATGACCGTTGAGAAAGAGGGGACAAGTGTTGCTTTTATAACAAACCGCATGGACATCTGTTGTTTTTCTAAAACGATCCGAATTTTCTATGTAGTTTACTCCGGACATCTGGGATTTTTACACAACTGAGTGTGTGAGATCGATAAAGAAACTAATATTCTATGCAAACAACATATAAAGTCAAAATAGCAAAAAATGGACATGTGTTGTTCTTCAAATAAACGCTTCTATTACATCCAAAGATTCTTCCGATACTGGGTTTAAATTAATCCTTCAGGTACTGTCTCATTTCAATAATTCCACAAAGTGAATGTTTAAATGCATTTTTAACTGATTTATACCTGGATTAACATTACTAGTGACACTAATCGACCATTTGCTTAAATGCTGTATTGTAACTACACTAAATAAAAAACATTGTCGAATTATCTCGGTGTTTTTTCATTTTTCTTAACAAAAAATAGTGCAAGAATTAAATATGAATATACTTCTGATTTATGTTATCCTGATGATAAATAGTTACATGCTTATACATTTAAGTAGATTAGTTTTTGATTTTTAAAATGTATTTTTCGTGTAGGTACTTATTATCTTTGTTTATATCTCTAAAAATAAGTAAATATACGTTACAAACATTCATAAACTTGTGTTTTTGTTCGACAAATTTTACATTTTACATAGCAACAATTATAAAACTTGCATTGACAACGTTCAATCTTTTCTTCGACGACTGTCCGATATCCACGTCCACAGCAGAGCTGTCTGCAGCTGTCTGGTCCGTTTGACGTTACGTTGCAGTGCCTGTTGATAAAAATATTAAAATTTAGTTTACAACATAAATATTGGACTGTTTTTAATTTTGGTTAACTTGTAATTGGAAGAAGTAGGTAAGTTTCGAATTACATGTGGAGTTCTTATAAATACATCCAAAGATTCTTCCGATACTGGGTTTAAATTAATCCTTCAGGTACTGTCTCATTTCAATAATTCCACAAAGTGAATGTTTATACGAATTTTTAACTGATTTATAACTGGATTAACATTACTAGTGACACTTATCGACCATTTGCTAAAGCACAAAGTAAAAATGCGAAGATTTCTTGGTTGAAGAAACCTAACTTAAGATTTTTGCTTTATTCTGTGCCTTCTATAAATTGAAAGGCAAAACAGAAGATGAAAAGAGATATGGGGAATCTAAAAATTACATTTAACAACATATCTCCTCATCTAAACAAAAATCTTTGGTGAACTGGTTTCTTGTATTCATACAATGTAAACAGAAATAAAATAAAAGACAGTTATTACTCTGTATATATTGCCTTAACTGATTTCATCCTACCAGGATTTAATACCTATTCTTCGTCGAAAGTAGAGAAATAAATAAATTAAGAAAGAAAAATAAGAATGTAATTGAAGATTTTTGTCTATATTTTGGATTTTTAAGTTATCTATATCCCCGCCGTTCCCGTCGGTATCTATGGAGGAGTAACACCTAGACGCAAGCCATCATCTCTTGCCGTACTCCTCATCCATAAATAGATCCGATACATTGGCATATTTCAGTCTAAGTAGCAGTATAATTTAAAATATTATAGTACGAATTATAGCCCAGTACCAGAATCACAAGAATGTAGCGATTACCGCACCATTAGCTTGATGTCTCATGTGCTAAAATTACTACTAAAAATCATCCATAACCGAATATGTCTCAATCTGGATATAGACGTTAATGACACACAATTTGGTTTTCGCAAAAGCATAGGAACGCGTGAAGCTCTTTTTTTTCACTTAATATACTGATACTAAGATGCCTTAGTATCAGTGCCTTATAAACGAATACAAAGCCACACACAAGGAGATCGGGATAAAAATACGGGCAGCTAAAGAAAAGTAGATGTAGATGACCAATGTTTAGAGATAGAAGAACTCCAAAGAAATCATGATAGTTTTGAACTGCACAAAAAAATTAAAGAATTAGCAGGTATAAGACGGTCCAACAATAGTAACACCCTGGTTGATACGAATGGTAAAATAATATCTGATGTCAAAGACAAACTAAACAGATGAAGAGAATACGTCCAAGAATTGTTTGAGGATGACAGGATACAACAAGATAGAATGAACGATTGCGAGGAACATGATATAGGTCCAAATATAACTAAGGATGAAATAATACATGCAATAAATCTGTCAAAATCTAATAAAACTGCGGGACCTGACCTGACCGGGAAATTCCAACTAAAATAATTAAATTAATATCAGATCAGCTTAATGTATCAGCAGACTTATATAATACTATATATAATACGGGTATTATTCCGAGAGATTGGCTCAAATCAACATTTATTACATTACCAAAAAAACCTAATACAAGGGAATGTAATGACCACCGTATAATTAGTCTAATGAGTCTCACACTAAAAATATTCTTAAAGATTATCCATTTTAGAATTTTCAGAAAAGTGGAACAAGACATCACTGAACCCCAATTTGAATTTAGGAATGCCATGGGTACACGAAAGGCATTATTTGGATTTAACGTCCTTATGCAAAGATGTATGGATGTAAACCAACCACTCTATGTTAGTTTTATTGATTATAATAAGGCGTTCGATAAGGTCCGACACAACCGTCTTATACAGTTACTTAAAGAGAAACACATTGATAAAAAAGACTTAAGAATAGTAACTCATCTCTACTTTAACCAAACAGCAAAAGTCAGAGTCGGCAGAGAACTTTCGGAGGAAGTATAGATAAAAGAGGCGTAAGGCAAGGTTGCATACTCTCCCCCTTATTGTTCAATCTATATTCGGAAGAAATAATCACTCGAAAATGTAACAATTGGAATAAAAGTCAACGGCAGACCCATCAGCAATATCAGATATGCCGATGATACTATACTAATTGCAGAGAATATACAAGATCTACAGACACTTTTAAATAATGTAGTAAATGCTAGTGAGGAAAGCGGACTAACGCTTAATGCTAATAAAACAAAATTTGTGACAATTTCCAAAACACAACAACAAGACATTTTAAACATAAGAGGACTTACAATAGAAAAAGTAAAAAATTACAGATATCTTGGTACAATTATTAATGACAATAACGAGTATACAGAAGAAATAAAAATGAGAATTGGACAAGCTAGAGCAACATTTAATAAGATGAGAAAAGTATTATGCAGTAGAGACTTTAGTTTACAACTCAAAATAAGATTACTTACTTACTTACTCCGTGGCGTTACAACCCTTCGTGGGTTTTAGCCGACTCGACAACATGCCTCCACTGTTTTCTATCTTGAGCAACCTCCATCCAATTCTCCACGCCCATAGTGCTTAGGTCTCCTGCTATATTATCTCGCCACCGAAGACGAGGGCGTCCGCGTGGTCTCCTTCCAGTTGGGACTTCCTCCCACACCAGTCTTACTGTTCGTTCATCAGAATGTCTTCTGAGGTGTCCTGCCCATTGGAGTCTTCTGGACTTTATTTCTTTTATGATGTTGGTGTCTGGGTAAAGTTCTTCAAGCTCTTTATTAGTTCTTATCCTATATTGTCCTGATGCTTCATCAAGCACCGGACCAAAGATCTTCCTTAGGATTTTTCTTTCCCAAACACGTAGTCTCTCTTCATTTGCCTTTGTCATCGTCCACGTTTCGCTTCCATATATCACAACGGGTCGTATGATTGTTTTATAGACCTGTATCTTCGTACCTCGTGTTAGTTGTTTTGATTTTATAAGGTTTTGGAGGGCAAAAATACATCTGTTGCCGGCCTGAATCCTGTTGTTTATTTCTTGTGATCCGTTATTGTCTTCAGTTATTGTTGTTCCAAGATACTTGAATTCTCTAACGCGCTCAAAGTTAAAGTCATCGATGGTAATGTTCTGACCGATTCTGTCTCTGCTTTGGTTATTGCGGCTCATATACATATATTTCGTCTTATTTTCGTTGATTTGGAGCCCATCTTCCCTGCTTCCTTCTCAAACCTTACGAAGAAGATTACTACGTTCTTATATGTTTTCGGTGCTGCTGTATGAGGTGGAGGCCTGGACCTTAAAGAAAGAGGTGAGCGATCGAGTTGAATCATTCGAGATGTGGACCTACCGAAGAATATTAAAAATAAGTTGGGTAGACCGAATAATAAATGTTGAGGTCCTCAGAAAGATGACAAAGGAAATGGAAATCATGAATACAATTAAGATAAGAAAGTTACAGTATCTCGTCCACGTTATGAGAGGGGATAAATATGTATTGCCACAAACCATAATGCAGGGAAAAATACAGGGAAAACGAAGTATTGGAAGAAGACTCATCTCCTGGCTCAACAATCTGAGAAAGTGTTATAATTGCAGTTCCGTCGACTTGTTCAGGGCTGCAGTATCAAAAATGAAAATATGTGTGATGATTACCAACCTCCTTAGAGGAGATGGTACGGAGATTCCTGGACGTCAATCAAGATATATACGCATGTTTTATTGAATATAATAAAGAATTTGATAAAGTACAACATGAACAATTAATGAATGTCCTGAAATCAAAGAAGATTGACTACAACGGCCTCAGGATCATATCAAATTTAAACTATAAATAGCGAGCAAAAGTATGTGTTAACGAACAGCTGTCAGAAGAAATTGAAATTAGACGTGTATTGAGGGGATGCGTATTGTCGCCAATTCTTTTTAATGCCTACTCCGAAGAGATTCTAATATCTCTTAAGGGTGAAACAGCTGGAATAAAGGTAAATGGAGTTCACATTAACAACATTAGATACGCGGACGACACTGTGATCATAGGCGAAAATATTGAAGATTTTTAGAGACTGGTGACTAGAATAGCGGAGTATGGAAAAGAGTATGGTCTAACAATGGACGCCAAGAAGACGAAAGTTATGAGAATATCGAAAACTCAAAGAAATAACGAGAATCTTCTAATAAACGGAATCAAAGTCGAGCAGGTGGACAGCCAATATCTGGGAACAATGATTAATCCAAAAATGATTGCATTCAGGAGATCGAAATCAGAATAGAAAAGGCTAAAGCAAATTTCAACAAAATGAGAATAGTGCTATGTAGAAGGGATTTAAAATTGGAACTAAGAGTTAGGTTGGCGATGTGCTATGTTTTTTCGACTTTGTTTTATGGAATTGAATCTTGGACCTTGAATGCGACATCAATGAAAAAACTGGAATCATTTGAGCTGATCCAAGGAAAAAGAAGCATAGGGAAACGCAGAATGTCATGGCTGCGCAATCTGCAAGAGTGGTACGGATGTACATCAAATGAACTTTTCAGAGCAGCTGTCTCAAAAGTCTGAATAGCTGTGATGATTGCCGAACTCCGTCGCGGAGATGTCACTTCAAGAAGAAGATTTATTTGTAATTTATTATATAATTATATAATAAATTATATTTAAACTGAATTTAAATGTAAAATTGTGGGTTATTCCCAATAAAAATAGTAAATTTTATTAAATCAGTTAAATACCCATGACAAAACATGTTACCTACTATGTAATGAAAAATTCGAATAAGCACAGCTGGTATAATTACAACGACAAAATAAATTTGAGAGATTTATATTCTTTAATTATACCTGCACAAACTCGTTACATTGAACGTTTATAGTGCTAATTTTTTTACAAAAGATGTGCCGTCGTCGTATTAATCGTTCCAAATTATGAAGTATTTGGTCACATAATTGCTATAAATTAACTGAAATGTTAGGGAAACAAAAATTGTGGGTCGTTACTCTAAATTAAAGTCGTTGTCGAGGCGATGTCATCCTCTACCCCATAGTTTAAAATCTTAATTTAGTCGGTGGTAGGGAAATAAATGCATCAAAACGTGAGATTACTACGGAACGTGATTTTGAACAGTTGTTTTTTTAAGTACAGAAAAACGTTTATAAGCATAAATATATAAATATATTTTATGCTTATACTTTTTTCTTAGAAAGGAGAATTTCTAGTCGGATGATGGAACTTACACATCAACTTAAACAAGACGTCTTTATAATACAAAATTAGGTAACAAGGTGATCAATAGTGAAACGTTAACGAAAAGTTCGACAACGTTAATGAAAAATAAAAAAAAAACTATGTACCGGGTGGTCCAATAAGCTGTTCTCTCGGCTATATATCAGAAAGTATTCATGTTATAACTTTAGGAGAAAAAATTCCTTAGTAAAAGTGGCCAAGAGAAATCGCTGGAAATAACTTTCAAGTTTCTGGGTTGACCGCTAGGGGCCGTAACCTATGAAGAAAACTTTGAAAACCAGTTTTTTGGGAAATATGTCCATTTATATCAAGTGGTAAATAAGTAAACTAGAAAGAGGCCTAAATTCTGCACAAAGTCGTTCAAGTACTTTCTTTTTATTTTTTCAAATAAAGGGTGGGGGAAAGTAGGAAAGTATTTATGGATAAATACCTATAACTTTGGTTTGGATCAACCGATTTTAACAAAATTAGTGTCATTAGAAAGAGTGTGGATGAATTAATTTATATCTACTATAAAATAATTGAATTTTGTTTTAATTGTCATAGGTAGAGGGTACTTTCGAATAAAAAAAATTAAAATTTGTTTTTCTTCAAAATGTTTAATGGAAATATCTATTTATTGTAAATTATAATAAAACTAGATTAAATTCGTAACAAAATGGCGCAAACCGCATGTTAATAGCTTTTGTCGAACTCGAGATATGAATAAAAACGCATAAACATAAGTAAGTATGGTATTGACTCACCCTGTATTATAAATTAAATTAAAAAATAAGTCAGTAGGTATTATCAAATTTTTTTATAGCAGAAGAATCTTAATGTTGATACCTATTTTGACCATTGTTATTTCATATGATTAGAAATAGTTTTTTCGAGTTCGAACTAAGTAGGCTCCGACAATGAATTTGACGGGGAGTTCATATTATTTATTTATTCACAGCAGTCAAAACATTGTTAAGAAGTGGTATATTATAATTCGAATTGAAGATTGCACTTTTTTCAATAGATATTAATATTGGTAATACTAGTAATTAATTATCAGTACTAATAATTCGTGATGAACATATCAAATGCAGAATTGTATGATATGATTGGAGTTTATTTCGAATGTCACCAAAATGCCGCTATTGCCTTACGTATATATTCTGTAAGATATCTTGACAGGAGACATTATGGCATTCAATCAATGTTCTTGCTTTAATTCAACAGAATCCACATATAAGTAGTCGCCAAATCTCTATAGAATTAAACATGCCCAAAACTACTGTTCTAAGTATTTTAAAACATCACAGGTTGGTTTTTCATATTATAAAGTGAATGTTTAGGTCAGAAACTTGGGTTTCCGTTTAAACTTTAGATTCAACTGTTATTTTAATATTCCGACTTAATTAATTAATGTTTGATGTGGTATAGTTGATGGAAAGATCGTAGGTCCATATCTCTTTGACAGCACTTTAAATGGCGAAACATATTTGGATTTTCTGGAAAATCAGTTGCCTGTTCTATTGGAAGGTATTTTCTTCCAATAAAAGAAGATATATGATATTACAACATGACGGGTCTCCTGCGCACTTTTCCAGACAAATTCGAGATTATGTGTATGCAAGTTATCCAAATAAATGGATTGGAAGAGGAAGTATATTTTCATTGAAGGACTTAGTGTACCAAACTCGACCAACCACGCGAGACGACATGAAACAGCGCATTATAAACACAATAAATAGTTTCAACAGTTGAGATTCAAGCAGCTGTTATGTCTACGTGCGAAAGATTACATCGTTCTGGGTACAGCCACGTATACTTTTGACAGCACGTATACTTTCTTTGAGGTTTTTTCTTATAGAATGTTTTCATTGCATAGTAGTTGTGGGCTTGTAGGAAGTTATCCAAGGTTTCTCCTCTCTCATTTCTAACTCCAGAACCGAATTGCACTATATAGGTATAGTTTTCGGTTTTTTCAAGTCGTTGTCTAATTTTAGGACCCCAAAAAAAGCAATGTCACTCCTACCCTCGGGCTTCCCACAAAAACCCCCCTCGTATGGGGGAAAATGGATAACATCGATTTACCAAGAATTTGTATTCTGTAGAAAAACTTGTTTCAAACACAACTATAGCTGTGAAAATTTGGAACAAAAATATTAATTAGCACTTTTTGTGTAGAGTGAACAGTTTGCGTTGAAACAACGCTTGCAATGACCGGTGGTTTTTAACGTTAGTTATGAGTGTGAAATTAATTTTTTTTTAATAAAATGTATATCAACTCGACGATAAAATTCGATACCTTTTGATCAGAGTGTCAAAGCATCATATTATGTTTTCCGTACTTTTAAAATTTAAGTAATATTTTTAAAGTTTAATAAAGTAATTTTATTATTTATTTATTATTTATATTTTAAACAAAATAAGTTATATTAAACAGACTTACCGTCCAACAGTTCCGAAACTACCCAACTTTTCATCCTTTGTACAATAATCTGGTGATTTAGAAATATAAAACAAAAGCTGTGCAGTAGTTGCTTTCTTTAATTTTTTAGATATATTATCTCCTATTTCTGCATCTCCAATAATGTTGTGAACCTCTAACGCATTGGTGTACTTCTCCAACAGCTTACCTCCAACTTCTGACATTGGTGGAAGTGCTTTCCAACAAGTTTTTATGTTACAAGATCCCGACACACCATGGCATTTACATTGGGTTCTTAAGCTGTCTGTCATTACCTAAAAATGGTGAACTCCTTTAATTAATTAATTAAAACATTAAAATATTAAAACACTATACGGTTTTCTAAATATGGGCTGTATGTATATATAATTGTGTTCCGAAAGGTTTCCAAGGTTAGTACAATTAAACATGGAGCTAAGATTACTACTAGGGTTTGGGGTTATTACTAGAATAGGGGTGACAACAACTATCACTTGTTGACGTTTGTATTTAGTATACTCTAACAAATTACCATGGCAAGATATACGCTTGAACAATGTTTGGAAATTATCCTAAAATTTTATGCTAATAATCGTTCTTTTGTGAATACCTATCGTGCATTACGTGAAAGGTATGGTCCAAATCATCGTCCTGATGTGCGTGTAATTCGTCGAATCGTGGAAAAGTTTGAACGTGAATTTGCGTCGAAATGCAAGAACTCAGGACAATATTGCTGCTGTAAGAGCCAATATAGCGGAGAATGCAAATGTGTCCATAAATCGTAGTTTTCTAGAACTTGGACTCACCAGAATGACAACTTGGCGAATTCTGAGAAAAGATTTAGCCCTACACCCTTACAAGATTGTTCTGACTCAAGAACTGAAGCCACTTGACCATCATAGCGTCGTTTGTTCGCTGATTGGGCTCTAGACAAACTCGAAAATAATGGCGATTTTTTCAAAAGAATAATCTTTTCCGATGAAGCTCATTTTTGGTTAAACGGCTTTGTGAATAAGCAAAATTGTCGTTTTTGGAGTAAAAATAATCCACATGAGATTCTTGAGAAGCCTTTGCATCCAGTTATTGGTCTATGTGAACAAACCACAATCTACTGAAGACTTGAAGAGGAACATAGAGCATACCATTCGTGAGATTAATGCGGATATTTTGCATAAAGTGACCGAAAATTGGATTCATCGGATTCGCTCCTGCAAACGTAGTCGCGATGGACATTTGAATGATGTATTATTCGGAACATAATTGTTATATATTATATTTTGCAATAATTTTTTTTTTGATTTACAGAAATTTTTACCGTTTTTTTTTTTTAAACATTACGCCGAGCTTTTGACATCCTCTTCTATGTCTTCTTCAGGGCTTCCGAGATTTCAGCCTCCCGAGCCCCCAGACACTACTACACTGATCAAAATCCAATGCATTGCTGGGAATATAGGACGGGTAATTTATACCGTTGATGGTGACGTAGTTTGGGTAAGAGTTGGCGTGGGGGTTAGCGTAATGATTGGCACGGGAATTGGCGCGGGGGTTGACGCAAGTATTGCTCTGACAGTAGGATTTTGATTGGCGGGTGAAGGGACGATATTTTCTTTATGAGAGGACTCCAAGTCGAAAGTAAGCTTATGCCGTCATCTATTTTATTGAGACATTTGGGTTTCTTTCAATTTATATGACATGTCGGATAATTTTAGGTTTATAGAAGAGGATGGGGCTATGATTCTGGAGTTTTAAAATCAATTTAGTGAGCTGTATGAAGATGGTGTAGACATAGAGCTGAAATTGAGTCGGAATTGCAAATAGAAATGGAATAATCATAAATCCTATTGTGGATTCTACGATTTGTTTGGTCTATATAGGATAGGTGGCAGTTTGCACAAAGAATTTCATAAACTCCGTGTTGTTCATTTAGGATGTTGTCTTTGATCGATCGAACAAGAGATGAAAGTTTTTGTTGTAAGGTAAATATTGTCTGTATTACTCTTGACAAGAATTTTGTCGATTTTGTCAGTGACACCTTTGATGTAAAGAAGAAACGATTCCGTATGATGAGTCTTTGGGTTAAGATTGAGTGGGAGAATGATGTCTGTGGATGCTCTTATTGATGTGATTTTCGCAGTAACCGTTTTAAATGACGGCTTGTTTTAAACTAGACAGCTCAGCCAGTCCACTTGCATCATGACAAACGCGTATTGATCTGAAGACAAGTATATTAATGACTGAATTAATTTGTGAAGGAGATGATAAGAGTTGACATGCAGGGAACGATTGATATGGGTGGGATTTCGATAAAGAGAGTAATGGCAATCTTGGGATTGGTTTTTCTTTATGATAACGTCGAGAATCGGTAGGGATAAATAAGTTTCCACCTCCATCGTGAACTGGATACTAAGATATATACCATTCAAATATGCTTGAAAAGATACCAAAGAATCCGTGCAATGGAGCCACATGACGAATGTATTGTCAATGTATCGTAGCCAACCTGTGGGTTTGAGCATTGATGTGGATAGTGCTCGGGTCTCGAAGTCTTCCATAAAGATATTGGCAATTACTGAAGATTGTGGGGAGCCCATTGGGGCACCATTTATTTGTCTGTAGATAAGTAAATATAAAATAAACGAAAAATACTTAGAACAATTTTCGAACCTCACCATGACATCACCACAAACCAATTATAAGATCAGAAGCAATATCGGATTAAAAGCACTCTACAACGACGCCGATATTGTCCAAGAAATTAAATCACAGCGACTAAGACGGGCAGGCCACGTGCACAGACTGCACAGGGCTTCAGCATTATCTGCCAGTATGACAGTGTCATCAGCATATCGCAGGTTATTTATACATTGCTCGTTTATAATTATACCATCCGAGGTGCCTTCCAAAGCTTTCTGAAATATCTTCTCAAAGTAAACATTGAACAGCAAAGGTGATAGGACACATCCCTGTCTTACTCCCTTCTCGATATTGATTATTCCAGATGTTCCGCTTTTTATTCTAATTTTAGCCTTTTGTTCTTGGTAGAGGTTTGAAATGATCCTTAAGTCTTTATCGTCGATATTACATGACTTTAAAATATCTATTAGTCTATCATGTTTCACCAGGTCAAACGCCTTCTGAAAGTCTATAAAACACAAGTATACATCAGAATCGACATCTTTACATCTTTCAACTAACACATGTATTGAAAAAAATGCTTCTCTTGTTCGGAACCCATTCTTAAAACCAAACTGAGTTTGACCAGTGTGTTCGTCTAGTTTATTGTATACTCTATTGTATATTGTATAGTTTATTGTATTACTCATAGGAAAATCTTCAACATATGATGCATCAGGCTAATAATCTTATGGTCTTCACATTTCTTGGAGTTTTTTTTCTTTGGTAGTGGTATAAACACCATATTTTCATACCAAAACTTAAATTTTTTAAGGATTTTTCTGAAATGAATTACTTAACATTTAATTTTTTGTTTACTGGACTAGAACTATTCGTTGTACAACATTACAGAAGCATCTTAGGACAAATTCTAAAATGGTTTTACAAAATTGTTAGTGACTACTATGTTAATATTAAAAGGATATTGTAAAATGCAATAAATAGATAAGGAATGTAATATTCAACTCAAATAAATGCAAAACAAAAATACATATAGCAAAAATAATAAGAACATTCCAAGATTTGATTACTTATGACTAGATATAAATGAGCTCAATTAAAATTATTTTAATAAATTCAAATAAAATTTAAAAAGTTATTTATTAAAAGTACTTTTTGTTTCTTATAGAAAATTGTTACCTTCCTACCAACTCTATTATTGTGCAAGTTAACAGTAGCGATGGCGTTATTGTCCATTCCAAAATAGGCTCCTTGGTCCTTTTGCATCTTTGTTTTTACCGCTTGCTCACTTTCTTTCTTAACGCTTGTATTTTTCTTATCTATTTTATGTTTTTCCACATTATCAATAAATCTTTTGGCGAACTGAGCTCCCCATTTGACGTTGTCTCCGCATCCTCCCCATTGAAACTGCCCGTTTGGAAGAGATGTTGGCTTACTGGCACATGTACAATGGTAAAGAGCTCCACTGGAACAAGCACGTGCCATTGTGTAAGTTAAAGCTGCGGAACTAATGGCATAAACATATGCTTGCTCACGAGTAGCTAAAATAAAACATATATTTTAAGTTTAAAAACTTTAAATAAACAGCTAAATTTAATGAGCAGTGAAGATAAGGACAAATATCGCTTTCGAATTTTGATTTTAGATTTCGAAAGCGACGGTACCACAATAGACGAAAACGACAAGAAAAGAAAAGGAGTTTAAGAGGAAGAGTTACAACGTGCTTTCACCAAAAGTCGCAGAATAGGGAGATCTCTCATTAACAAAAAGGATAAAATGGAAGAAAATGTACAAAAAATTATGGAAATGATGACAGGAGTGAGTATAAAGATAGAACAACAATCAAGAAAACTCAGCGAAATTCATAGAGAACAAAGAGAATATAGAGAAGAAATAAGACAGTTACGACAAGAGAATATAACATTACGAGAGGAAAACCCAAACATCAAAAAGGTAGTTTTTTAAATAGAAGAACGGCTGGAAAGTTTGGAAAATGGAAAAAGGCGTAAAAATATAGTTATACAAGGCATGAACATAAATACAAATGCCCCAGAGACTCTAAAACATGAAATACAAAATTTTATGCAAATCTGTCTGGTTGAGCTTGAAAAAGAAGAGGACAAAAGAAAAGTCATGCGAAACAAAAGCAAATTAAGAAACCAAAGAAAATGTCTAGTTTATATCAATGATAACTTGTCAAAGAAGGATAGAATTGTAAAGAAATATGTCAGACAGAAAGCGCAAGAACTAAGACAGGAAGGGAGAAAAAAGAAAGTAGGATATAAGAAAATATATTCCGCTCAGGAAATATGGCGCTGGGATGGCATGAACCAAACGTTGGTAGTAGAGACCAAAGCAAAAAACTAAGCACCAGCATGAAAAGGAAAGAAATGAAGACGAACAATGCGAAGAAAAGGATTACGAACTATAAAAACGAAACAAAACAAGACAGTAATACAAAGGTAAAGCCGAAGAAAGACAAGATAAATTTAGCTACATGGAATGTCAGAGGAACCTTTTATGAAGGTGCGCTAAAAGAACTAATGAATGAGGCAAGGAAGTATAAAAGAGATTTAATGGCTCTTTAGGTGACAAAACAATTAGGATTGGAAATAACTGATATAGAAGATATGGTGCTCTTCAAAAATGAAGGTAAAGATAAAATGCTTGGAACTAGTTTTTTAGTGGCTGAATATATCAAGGACAAAGTGATAGCTTTTAATCCTATCTCTGATAGGATGTGTTCAATACGAATTAAAAGTAAGAAAAGGAATTGGAGTATAATCAATATTCATGCACCGTCAGAAGGCAAGGACGACGAAATAAAAGATCTTTACTAATGGTAAAAATGGAAAAGGAAATAATGCCATCGGAGTGGTATGACCGCATATGCCCTCTGCATATAAAAGGAGACAAACTAAAGTGTGACAACTATAGAGGTATAGCCTTACTAGACACGGTACACAAAATCTTGGCAAGAATATTGAGAAATAAACTAAATTGCTACACGGAAAGAATCCTACATGAGTATAAGGCCGGCTATAGAAAGGACAGATCTATTGTAGACCAAATCTTCTCATTAAAGGAGATACAAACGACTTGTTATGAAGGTAAAGTTCCCCTGCATATTTTGTTTGTGGATTTTAGACAAGCATATGGTAGAGTCGATAGAGTCAAAATGTATTGAGCAATGGAACATTTGAGTATACCAAAGAAACTGATCCGGCTAGTAAAAATGACATTAAATAACTCTAAGTGTAAAATTACGTGGCAGGGTTACATATCAGATCAATTTACGTTTGCAAAAGGCTTGAGAGAGGGAGGGAAAGGCATTATTTAACTTAGTGTTAGAAACTGTAATTAGAAAAAGGAACATGAAGGTGGAAGAAACAATCAATGTTGAAAGGTGAAAAATGAGCACCAGTGCTTGGCATTTGCTAACGATTTAACGATCCTAGCAAAAACCGAGAAAGAATTAAGAAGAGTTGTAAAGAAAATCATCGAAGAAGCACAAAAATTCGGATTGGAACTAAATGAAGACAAAACAAATATATGATCATGGGAGGAACAGAAGGGAAAAAAGAAGACTTTAGTGTGAGGTCTGTAAGTGGTAAAAGCTATAGTTTTAAAAGGGTGGACAAATTTGAATATCTGGGTGTATTTTTCGATGAAAATGGAAAAGAGGAATGGGAGCTAAAAGCCCGAATAGCAAAAGAGAATAAAAAATTAGGGAGTTTAAGAGCCCTACTGAACTCAAAATACGTTTCTAGACAAGGTAAACTCAAATATATAAAACAGTAATTCGACCCACATGAACATACGCCGGTGAGATATGGATATTAAATAAGAAGGAAGAGGATACTCTGGAAAGATGGGAAAGGAAAATACTGAGAAACATATTCGGAAGACGGAAGACAGAAGATGGTTGGGAGTGAAGAACCAACAATGAATTAATGGCTTTATACAAAGAACCTACCATTACCAAGTTCGTCAAGTCACAAAGAATCAGATGGTTGGGACAAGTAGAAAGAATGGAAGCAAACAGAATGCCCAAACTAGTAATAACCACAAAACTAATCGGCCCCAAAAGAAGAGGTAGACCTAGAACGAGGTAGATTAATAAAGTGGAGGAAGACCTTGAACACGTGAAGGTGAGGGACTGGAAAAGAAAAGCACAAAATAGAAGCGAATGGAGAAATATTGTCCACCAGGTCCTTCAGAGTAGTTAAGAATGTTGTATATACATATGTAAGTTAAAGCTTTGTTTAAAATAATTGTAATTAGTTAATATTAGGATTATGTTTACAAAAATTGCACTAGGCCTTAACGACCTGTTGTGCGTAAAAAATAAATAAAATTTAAAATCAATACTTAGGGCAAAAGTTTTAAAAAAAGATATTATTCTTGTTATCTATGATTGATGGAATAATAAAAAACTATAAACGGCCGTTTTTTCCGTTTTTCCTTCGTGTGTTCTCACAAATGTTTCAATTTCAGGTGTTTAACACTTTGACTGCCATGTGAAAAAATGTATGTACACAGTGACTAAGCTCAAACCGCCACGTGTTACACAGTCAGTAAAGATCGTTTGGCCATGTGTATTTTACAGGAGCACACTTTATGTGTATTTCTAATAGGATATAATTTAGCGTCACCTGGGGCAAATTAAAAACGATCTTGGTCTGGAAAATAATACTTCGTCATTTTTTTATTAGCAGTTGAATTATAGTAGATTTTTTCTATACTATTTGTCAATTTACAGTGTCAGTATACTTATTTGTCAATTTTGATGTAAAAATGTTTTTTGTAGATACAGTAGATACAATAATTCATTATAAAATAGAATATTCACACATATTTTAAATTATATCTACTCAAATGACTATTTTGGCAAAATTTTGTGCTTATCAAAGAAAACAATTTTAAATAGAGAAATTTTTGGTCACAGAATTTAGTGGTATGACTTATAACTTGCTTATAACTTGCTATTATAACTTGCTTTACTCTTCTTTTAGCACCCTGTTCGACTATCGAACGTTGGTGATCATATTGGCAATAATAACTTTGTTTACAGCAACCCGAAACAGTATAGCGGATGTCTCTTGATACTATTCTTAAAGATTTCGGAGCCAGGATGTTCTTCTTCGATCTGGACCGCTTCTTCCGGCGATCATTATGAGGTGTAGAAGGTTATACCTCTCTGGATGTCTCATTACATGGCCGAAATATTGTACCTTTTGAATTTTTATTGTTTTTATTATTTTTATGCTCTTTTTTATTCGGTGTTATTTGTTATTCGATAAACTTGCTTAGTTTTATTTATTGCATACTGTCATTAGTGGTCATCTTGATTTCGTTGGTAACAAATAACGCAGCGAATGAACTTTTTTTACCTGCTTGAATAAATTTATGTTCTGGCGGTGCGTTTTAGAGAGTATAACTTTGTTTACCTTTTAAAAGTAGTTTCAAGCACAATTTTTCTTTTAAATATTTTACAGTTATTCTTTTTGGTACAGTTTTGTCCATATTATATAAATAATGAGCATTTACTATGCTTGTTCCAGTAAGTAGTTCAACTGCCACCTTCCTGTATCATTTAATGCTACATCTAATAGACAATTGATCGGATACATCAATGAAACTTTTTGCATTAATATAATTCACAATTGCTTTCAGCTTCTTTTTGATCCCAATCCTTTCTGGAACGACAATAAAATTCAGCTTATATTTGGTGGTAAGCATCAGGCCATCTTGCTTATCTTTTCATTTAAAAACGACAATGCCGTTTCTCTCTCTTCCTACAATTTCACTCTTCTTCAGTTTGCTTAAAAGTACTTCTTTCGAAATATCTTTCATAGTGTTCCCACTAGGTGCGTTTTTCTGCTTTGTAACTTTTCAGCTAACTCTACATTCTTTAATCGAGACATTTGTCCCATAAGTTTAAACACTACTTTAGTCGCCACAAACATGGCGTCAATTTTATCTGCACCACAATAAATTTTGCAGTGATACGTATACCATCCATTGGGGCATAGCTTGAAGAGTTTGATTCCAAATTTTTGTTTCTTTCCTTTCACATATTAGCGAAATTTATAAGTTCCGCGAAAGGATACCATCGTTTTACTGTGCAGATATTTTTATCTGGTACTACAACCTTTTTAAATTTGGAATTTAGCAAAGGGACCAGGGACTGTACAAAAGTACAAAAAAAATTTTAAAACCTATAGGATCTTGATACTTCTTTCTACGACAAAAAAATTTATATTAACCCAAATCCAATGTGGAGATGATATTTGTGGTGAAACCTTCTGCATCTCAGATGTTTCAAAATCTAAATTAACTTTGAAAGAAAGAAATATTCAGAAAGAAAAAAAATTGAGAAGTTTTTTCTGTAAATATTCCAATAGAGTAGCGATAAGTAGTCATCTTAGCAGACTGAAACCAAATATTGCAGACTTCTTCAAATGCTACTATATTATATAATAGTTAAGTCATAAACAGCAATACATATTTACAAAACATTTTTATTATTAAAATCTTA